CGGAGGTGTCGGCCTAGGTGGCTCCTCAACTGGGTTCTGACTATGGAAAATGCGAGTGGGCTGGAACAGATTGGGGTTGGTCTCGCGGAGGACAACGCGCTTGGAATTTACCGTGTTTCCGTCGCCCACGGTTTCCAAGAAATACGATTCTGTGGACCGGCGACGACTTCGCATGGGACCACGGTAACCGTACTGCTCTCGGGATGCATTCTGCGCTTGGGGATTACTTGGGGGCTTCGGCGAATTCTTGGCGGAGTGACGAGTGCCCAGTGGCGGCCAGTAGCTAATGTCCGCCACTGGGTTAACCGGCGACTGGTTCTGAAAAAGAAGAGATCATTAAAAGGGCTCTCCTCTAATCGTTCATGATCTTACTCTTGTTGGAGGATTAGTCGGTGCAACGTGTGAGGGTCTTGGACCCTCAGTGGGCACCACCACGTCCTTCTTCGACTCCGGCTGGGTTGGCTTCGTTTCCTGAGTCCTTGGAGTAACTACTGGCTTGGTCTCCGGCTTCGGCTTAGGCTGTAGGTTCACCGTAACCTGCTTATCTTCCGCCCCATTGGGAATGTTGACCACCGGAGGATCAGTCTGCAGCGCCTTGCAGTCCTGCTGAACACTGGACTTACCTCGAGGTTGAGCTGGAGGCTTGGCCTGAATGGGCTTTGGATCGGTCTGGATGCCCTTATGATCCAACTCAAGGGGATTCGGCTTCACTTCCTGCGGCGTGACCTCCCTCTGTAGGATCTGAACGTCTGAACGGAGGCTGAGTGGCTTCTCTTCTTGCGGCGTGATCTTCCTCTGAATCATCCTAACATTTGAATGCTGGATATGGACCTCCTTGAGCTCCACTTCTTCCGAAATAGGAGCCAGGTGTCGCGATTGAATGCCATAGATTGGTGCCATAGTATGAGGAGCCATTGGTGGCTGGTTCTGCATCTCAACTGGAAATGGTGGCGGCTCCATAGGGTGGAATGGCAGTGAAGCCATAGGATGAGGAGCCATTGGTGGCTGGTTCTGCATCTCAACTGGAAATGGTGGCTGCTCCATAGGGTGGACCACTTGCTCCACAGGGTGCAATGGAAGAGGAGCCATTGGTGGCTGGTTCTGCACCTCAAAAGTCAATGGTGGCTGCTCCATAGGTGGGAATGGCAGAGGAGCCATATGTTGAGGAGCCATTGGTGGCTGATTCTGCACCTCAACTGGAAATGGTGGCTGCTCCATAGGATCGACAACTGGCTCCATAGGTTGTATTGGAAGAGGGGCCATAGTATCAGGAGCCATTGGTGGCTGCTCCATAGGGTGAGAAGGATCTATTAGTGGCTGCATCTGCGCCTCAACTGGCAATGGACGCGGCTCCAAAGGATGGATGACCTGCTCGTTCAATTGAGGAGCCTCTATGGGTATTGGTGAAGGGTCTTCATGGTATTGATCGACGTCCATAGGGGTAGGATCTTCATCGATGTCCTCCCTCTCTTCCTCCTCCCAGTCTTCCTCCAACCGATATTGGTTGCCCCTCAACATGCGGTTGCCCAGGCGGTTCCTTGTACGCACCGATGGACGGCGCCAGACCAAGTGCTAGAGAAAGGGGATTGTTAGGAGATCTTGGAGAGAATAGGATTAAAAAGTACTCACCCGTCCGACAATTCTAAACATAAAGCAGCATTGATCCAGAAGAGTGGGTGGTGGCGGCGGTGGGGGCGGTGGCGGCGGAGGTGTTGGTGGTGCTGCTTTCTTGAGGTCGGCAAACTCGATGTTGACGGTGAGCTTTTCGGAGGACTTGGTGATTAAAACTCCGGGGGCCACCTTCACCTCCACAAACCGCGGCACTTCTTCCTCCGGACGCGGCGGACTGGCACAGACCGGGGTTGGGCCTGGGGCAGGTACTGGGGAAGGGGCTGGAGATGGGGCTGAAGCTGGGGCTGGAGCTGGGGCAAGGGCCGGAGTCGGTTGTGGAATGTGTTGGTGCATGGCTGGCATGATCTGGGGCTGGCCATGATGCGGAATGTGTCCAGGCATTTGTCGAGCGATCGGGAAAGTTCCTTGTTGGTAGTATCCCTGTGTCTGTGGCTGCATCTGAGCCGGAATGGCAATATATGTCGGCATTTGCACCGCGTAGTATCCCTGCACCGGAGCCTGGCCCGGCATCTGCAGCTGCAGTGGCATGGCAATCAAAGGAGCTGCTGCCACAGCCAGATAGATGGGTTGCTGCGGATTATTCTGCATCTGGGGTGGCATTACCATGTAGGCTGGTTGTGCTGGTGGCTGGTAGCGTACCGGTGGGCGTGGTGGCGGCGAATATGGAGCAGGTTGCCCCTGTGGCGACAACGGCGGTGAAGGCGGATACTGCGGATCCGGCGGATACTGCGGATGCTGCGGATACTCCGGATGCTCCTGATTCACCACATACTGATGCTCCTCGTGATGCATCTGATACAGAATCTGATCGCGTTGCCCAAACTGATTATTCCCCATCATCTGATGCGGATGGTGTTGCGGATATGAATGCTGCCCGGGCACTGGCGGATTACCATTCTGCAGATCATACTCTTCTTCCGAAGACCATTGCTCCTCCTCCTCCTCCTGCACCATGCCCTGCACGTGCTGCACCTCCGCGTTGAACCAGCATCCATTGTTGTAGTAGCCCATAGTGCGCCGGCGCACCGAATACGTATCGTTCGACCCGGATGCGTCCCAACCTGCATGGTCCGGCGGTGGGGCGGAATTCGCCATAGGGCGTGGCACATCATAAATAGCCGATTGAGCTGGAGGAGCCGATACCGGAGGCGGTGGAGCCGGAGGATGCACTACAGAGGTCACTGGTGGTGGCGGAGCTACAGGAGCCACGCTATTATAGTGGCGTGGACCACGTGATGCACTTCTCGGATACGAATAATGCGAATGCCTCGGTCCGCCGCTGCACGAGGATGGGTGGTGATGGCCGCGCCCGCGCTGCCCGCCACCCGAAAAACGGTGGCCCGAATAATGATGGCCGCCACCGGCATTGATGCCACCCCTGCCACCGCTACGCGACTGGAATTGGGGATTTGGCGTTGCACAATCACTTATATCACTATATATCATTCTCTACTTACGTTCGCATATCGAGGTGGGAATTGCATCTTTCACTTTTTTTTTGGTTTTTTTTGGATAAGGCACTTGTTTTCAGAAAAAATGAACCGACTCGGCGTGAGGTGGAAATCAAAAAGGAAGGCGGAAACGGCGTGCTGGATGGATGACGTTGGATGACAGTTGGGAGTTTCCGCTGCTGTCAGACAGCCTGGCGACAGGTCCACGGGGCCCCCTGTGTTTCTGCGCAAACAGCTTTGATTTGCGCGGGTGGGGGGGGTCACACTTGTCATCGAAACGGATCTTAGATTACGGTTTTTTATTGAAAATAAAGGTCTTAGAAAAGGAAAAACAATTTTTTTATGCTATTATAATTATAATCTATAAGTCCAAGGTAGATAATTAAGTTTTAGTGACGAAGGCAGTGGTACTAAATTAATTTTTTTTAAGAATAAACTTAGCTAATTATGTTTAAACCCACTTGGATACTAAAATTAAAATGTTTTAAAATCATTAACAGTTTTTTAAACCCTAAATAGTTTTAATTAATTTTTTAAATTCAAATGTTCGATAGTCATAATTGCATGGCTGAAAACAATCGAAAAAAGCTTTATCTTTGGCCACACTTAAGTTTCTGAAACGCATCATTCTTCTTCTACCTAATTCTCAGAACTCAAAAATAAGAAAAAAACAAACATAAATACGTAAACAAACCATACAAAATGGCGGAAGTTTTTTTGAAAAATGAAATATATCCAAAAACAGAAGAAAATCTACTAATTTATTGATCAAAACAGGTTAAAATAATGATTTAATTTCATAAATATAAGCCAAACTATAAACCCTTTATTTTAGCTTTACGATCAGAGGTTAAGCTGCCGCCCTTTGCCACGCCCTCCATTGTTGCCCCCACAAACAAAAGGAAGGAGCTATCAGCCGGGAATGACAACACAAACGCCTTACAAATAATCGTTTAGCCTGGCCCATTTGCATATTTAATTGTTGAGAAAATTACCCAAATATAATCTGGCGGGCAATAAATTCTTCCAACTCTGCCGCGTCCAGAGCTCTGAATTCCGGCGGAAAGCAACCCAAAAAGTGGCGGAAAAGCGCGGTTAATGCCGCGACTTTGGAATGGGAAGAGACGACCGCAAGAAAAGTCGCGAAAGGAAAAAGGAAAATCATCTCAGAGAAAGGGTTAAAATGCAAATGATGATTAAGGAAAGTCCAAAGGTCCCAAGCAAAAAAAAAAGGATCGTTAAGGAAAATGAGTCGGGGTTGGGGTGTTGGGAGAGACCACGATCCTGTGACTGCGCCTCACATCACATCCCATCACATGTCACCCCGGGAAGGATTGTCAAGCGTTTGACAGGACGCGGATCAGGTTCCTCCGTCTGGGATAGCGTCTGGAAATTAATGCATGTCTGCAATTAAATTTGAATAAAATGCTCAAGTTATCGTTCGGAAACCCTTTTCCTCGTAATTGATTAGCCAGCGGCGCTATTTCGAATTGTTTTGGGATTTCTATTTTTTAATATATGGGTTCTAGGATACCTCCTTTTTTTAAATGACTTTAACCGCAATTGTCTTAAATGTTAGTATTTTTAAAGAATTATTTTTCAGACTTATAGAAAGATCTTCTAAAATAATGAAACCCTTATTATGTTTGGTTCTTTACATATATTTAAATTGTATTTTTAGGATCACTTTTTAGGTCATCAGTGACCTGCTACCCACGTGTATGGTATGTCCTGTTTTTTGGTCCTCGCTAATTGTTGTTAAATTATTGACCCTTGACCCTCTAAATGCCTCCATATGTCGTCTAGGGCGGGGATAATTTTATATTTGTTTAACTAAAAACTGGCCACGTGACCTTTAGTTACATTATAATATAATTACAATTTTTTTTTTTAGGAAAAGAAGGCTTTTGCGAAAGGTGTCACCTTCTAGAGATCTAAGGCTTTATATATAATTCAAAAGATACTGGGGACTGTCAGTAAATCATCGTAAAATTCAACTTTTTTGATTCAGACTCTGAATCAAAACTTGAAAAATTCAGTTATTAGAAGATTTTTGAAAAAAAGAGGCATTGGATCATCATGCATTGGCTTGTTGATGTTATAGGCGGTATAACAGGTGAGTTTTCCTCTAAAACTAAAAAGATTAAACATATAATATTATTTATATTTATAGGAGTGATATTGATTATTATGGCTTACCGGCCCTCGGAGGGAGCAGCCCTAGAGCGTTATCATTACAGGGATAATGTTGATATGGAGGATAAATCCGACTAGCGATCAGCAGCACTCCTCATGGCCTGGCAAATGTACCAAATTTTTTACCCATTTTTAAACAAAGTTCGCAACATACATATTTTGTTAATTCTTGGACCTCCATGCGGCTGCTGTTTCAAAATCAATAAATCCCATTGAAGTTAATTATTTGAATTTTTGCTTCACAGGAGGCTTAAGGTATTTTCTTTCGCAAAACAGACACCCAGGCCACGAAAAATAAAAATATTTTAAACTGGAGCAATGAGATCTCATCGTGTATTTTTTTTTTCGCACGTTTAAAATTGATTTTTGGATCAACCCTTAACCCCGTTTGGCCGGACTAACCCTTTTAACCCCACGTCGACGGTGGTTGTGACCCCGGCGGTTGTCTCATGATGCTAAACGTATTAACCCATGACCGCTTTAGCCATTGTTTATTGCCTAATTTGCGGTTAAATTTTTGATTTTGGCACAATGATTTCATTTTCGATTTCACATTTTTCGACAGATTGAGATTTATGTGTTTGCCGAAAAATAAATCTACCCAGAGAGTGTGCGAAATACATATACTTCCCATATATATATTTTTGTTATTTTGGCGCGTTGTGTTCGGCCATAAGGAAACACAAAGAAAAAGGAGTCCTGCCAGACGTGAGAAAGGGTTCAGATATGGGTGTTTTGGTATAAGTAGATTTTATAAAATAAATAAGGAATATTGATCATCTTTTCTTAGCAAAAAAGGTACCAACTAGGTATGACCAAGCTTCAGGAATTGTATTTTTTACATTTTTAAAAGAATTTTTGATTTAAAACAACGCAGAGCACTACAATTGTAACAATCTTGTCTTCTATTTCTTATTTTTTATACAAAAAAATCCATATTTATTAAGATAACATTATTTAAAATACAATAGTTCTTTAATATAGATTTTAAAACAATTTTAAAAACTATTCAAAGTCAAAATAGGGTCTAGACTAGAGTTTTGATAATACTCAAAGAAAGTGTCCATCTTTCCAATAATTTGCCTTTTTAAGATTTTAGAACTAGGAAAGAGATATTTGAATTAAATATATAAATAAGACAATAAACAAACAATTTTCTTAAAATAAATCATTTTTCTTAAATTCGTAATATTATACATTTTTAAACACCATATTTAGTTCAAATATATTAGAATAAATAAACAAACCATTAAAAAAACACTTTTCTTAAACAAATTAGACCTGTAAAATTACAATATAATCTTATCCATATATCGTTCTATCCTCAAGATCTCCTTCTCCAACCCCTACTAGTAATTCCTTAATTTAAAAGTAACAAATACCTAAAAAGAACAACTAAAATATAAGAAACATTAATCATTAAAGAACCTAAAACTTGAGTCACCAGCCAAGGGCAGTGCGTAAAATCAATTAAATACAAAACGGACGAAAAAAAAAAATACTCAAAAAATATAATGAGCAATGACCTACCACCGGCTGGGTGTCCTGGAAGGGTCAAGGATCGGGGCTGGCATAATGATAAACTGTCAAAACTACACACTAGACTACGAGCTAGATTCATATCAGAAAATTGCAATTCGGAAGCAAAACCAAAAAACCAACCACCACCACCACCCCATTACGAAACCCACGCGCCTAACACATTAACACGGACCAAAAAGGACCACAAGGACGAAGGACCTGCTGACCGACCGACTGTCGATCGAGAACTTTATGACTTTTGGAAATGCGTTTCTGCCGCCCTTGAACTCATTTTTAATGTAATGTCCTTGACTATTTTTGGGGTTAATTTAGGGTTACTCATTGGGTTTACGACGGGAAATTTGTCAGACGCTGACAGTTTTCAATTATATGTATATGTTTTGCATATCGGAGTCGTAGTTGAGTTCTAATGCATTTGTGGCATGTTTTCGTCAGCCAGGAAGTCGGCTCAGGTCCTTGCATAATTACTAAACAGAGTTTTCCTGATCAGTTGCCATGGTTTTTTAAGGACTTAATTTTTCAAGAAGTGATTCGTTTAATTTTATTTTGAAGAGTTAAAAAAATAGATTAATGTAAAAAATGTATAGGAACTTGTTCTCTTTATTTTAAATAGGATGTATCTTTGTTCTTTAAGAATTAAACATTAAGAAATACATTTTTATTGAGAAAATATAAAAGATATATATTTACATATATATTTCTAGGTTGGAAAAAGTATTTTTTTAAATAATTTCTTTTATACAAAAAAAGATATATTAATTTCTCCAAACTTATTTCTTCCATTTAGACTGGAAATCAATAAAAGAAAAGCTATTTATTTCAAAGACTTTATAGTTATAAATACTAGAATCTTAGAACCATAAAACCTTTCAAATACAAAACATTAAATGCGAAAACTCACACCCATTTAGTTGAATTTTAAAGCAAAACAAATAAAGGTCTTTGGAAAATGGCATCGAAAGCACTTAAACGCTCTATAAACACAAAGATGGATGTAATTATTATGGATTAGGATTATTTACGGGCTATATATCAAGCTGGACATTTGGCGACGTGGAACTGATTTATTTATGTCCTCCTTCCATTGACAACTCTATTCCGATTCTTTCCCAGGTAGGGCTCATGGTGGTGGTGGGGATTGCAGGACACGGCAGGACACTACTGCTGACCAAAGCTGTTTACACCAAATTTATGTCACAAAATCAATTGTCCAACACAGGGCAATAAAAATAATGAAAACAGGAGCAGGATCAGGCGCAGGATCAAGCGCAGGAGCTGGAAGGAGAAGGTCACTCGGGCCTGAAACTTGAGAATCAGGATTTAAACAAAAAAATGATCGAAAAACGTTGCATGAATTTTCCAAACCACTGAACCACCCGGAATGTCCTTTTGCGACCCCGCCAAGATTGTCGCGTCACCGTGTAATAAAGAGGTCACTCGTAGGTCCTGGCGATCCTCTGTCCTCTGTGAACCCGTATCACGGGGTGTTGTTTGTTTTGGTTTCGTGATTACAGTTAAAGGATTACAGTGGCCGCGACATGGGCGCGAACTTTGCGGTCATCAAAAGCATGCTGACTTCCTGCAGGACAGCTGCACATCGTATTTTTATTCTTTTATTCTTGATGTTGTTGTCCAGGACCTACACCAAGACAACAGCCAGGACCTCCGGGCCATTGATGATCTTGCCCTGCATTAGACACGTTTGTTACTTTCTGATTTTTTTTTTGTGGAGCAACCTCATCATCGAAACAAAAGCCCAGGAACTGCGGCAGGATGCGGTTTTTGGTTTTTGATCGTCGCACTGGTTTATGCAATGTCATATCCTGTCGCATATCCTGTCACTGAATGGCGTGATAAATGAAAGTAAATGAATCCCAAGGACAATCATCCCACCAGTTTTTCCATCGCAGCTCTAATGATGGAAAAATGAGGGTCTCTAGAAGAAAGAAAATGTATTATTAGAAATGCTTTCTTTTATTTTAAATATTTTTAATACTTACTTTTATATATTTGGGATCAAATATTTTAGTTTCTGTTGGGTTTCTATAAAATAAATATTTAGGAAACCTTTTTTTAAAGGTCTATCTATAGTAATATTCTCATCGAAGACACCTCTGAAACATCTGTTGGCTGGCTTGTAAAGCCCAAAACCTGTCCAATAAAATATGATACTTATTACATCTAATATCCATGCATCTATAACATATATATAGTCCATGTCCTGTGCACTGAGGTGTGCATAAATGACTTACAAGTAATAAAAATCCGCCATGGGACACTGGATGTCCGCGGGGCGGGTTTTCTCTGTTTCTGTTTTCTTAATTAATTTTCCGTGTTTTTCTTGGTCTCGGATCTCGGGTCTCGGGTCGCGGATGCCTAAAAAGCCGGATCATCAGCAGCCAAAGGCACATCCTCCGATTGAAAAGTTTACAGGGGTCGCCGTCGGGTCAAAGGGTCAACAGTTGATCGCCCTGGATGCTGGGATGCCTGGATGCCTATTGGGCTCTTGGTTGAACACAAAAAAAAAAAAAAGGGTTGAATAAATAAATGCCATAATCCAATTACCAATTGACCGCGTAGTCGCGCGTAATGTTTCCTTTAAAAAAAAAGTATTTTAATTAAATACAGTTTTTATTTCGACACTAAAAAAATATATACATACTTTTCGAAAGGAATGTGTTTTAAGTTTGAATTCAAAAATTCATTGAAGCCATTTAATATTCCTATAAAATATTAATGATTAATAAATATTCTCTCACTTATACTGGCACTAACACTCACCTTCATTCTAATGCTTGTCCTTGCCAGATCCTTGCCAGGAACTCGAACAAATGGAGACGCAGACAGCTGTCCTTGGGGTGTTGCCTCCTTCGTCGATTTTTCACTTTTCCATTGTTGAGATCCTGCCGCTTCCTTTTTGTCAATGTGCACAGTTATTGCGCCAGATCCTTGAAGTCTTGTCCTGGTTTTTTTGCTTCTTCCTTTTTTTTTTTTTGTCAACTTCTTCCTTTCAGGACTCCTCCTTTTTTGCCAGTGTGTGGCATGTGCCGCTCCATTGTGTGCCAATTTCGAAGGCAGCTGCCAGATTCTTTTGTTCAAAAAAGTATATATCTTCCAGCTTCCAAAAAATCCAGAAAACTGCGCCAATTACGCTGCTCATTATCTAACTTGAAAAAGGATAAGAAAAAAAGGACTTCAGCTGCCAAAAAAAGAGAGCTTCAATTCGATTTAGGGGAAATCATTAGTTAATTTTACAATTTCCTTCAGGGTCTGGTCATTAATAGAGCCTTTTATTCGGGGGGTTTCAATGAGACTAATTTTAAGAGATTATTCTGTCCCTATAATTGGGTTTCATTTATTTTTTAAGGGTCCTTAAGGTGAATCTTAGATGCTTTTTACAATTATACTCTATTATACTCAAGTTTTTACAAACTTTATCTCGCTTTTAGATTAAGAAACTTGTACAGTAAGATATATTTTAAAATGTAGGCCATTCCCTTCAAAATGCTGGATTTTCGAATGTGGCTCAGATCCATAGCTATATCTCAGCCAATTCTTGTCCGATTCTTGAGCGGAGTACCTCAAACGACTTGTGGATCAATTCTTTATCATTCTGCATTTAAATCCTACCACAAAATATTTTTTCAAAATTTTTCATATTTTTGTGGGGGGTTCCCTGCAAAATGCTGGATTTTCGTATATGGCGCATATCCATATCTATATCTCAGCCAATTCTTGTCCGATTTTTGAGCAAAGTACCTCAAATGATTTGTGGATCAATTCTCCATCATTCTGCATTAAAATCCTACCACAAAATATTTTTTCAAAATTTTTCGTATTTTTGTGGGGGGTCCCCTGCAAAATGCTGGATTTTCGTATATGGCGCATATCCATATCTATATCTCAGCCAATTCTTGTCCGATTTTTGAGCAAAGTACCTCAAACGATTTGTGGATGAATTCCCCATCATTCGGCATTTAAATCCCACTACAAAATGTTTTTTCAAAATTTTTTTAATAATAAAATAAAAGCCTTTGGAATACCTAGCCCAACCACCCACCCTAGCTAGATTGGCTTTTCCAACTTTTCAATTTGCCCGGAAATGTAAACCATAATTTAATTCAATTTCCCGCTATTGTGTCCCTATAAACAGTTCATTAGAAGACGCAACCAGTTATGAATTATGAAATTCAAAACTCCAAGTCATATGTATTTTTTTGTTGTATTTCGGGTAAATATATACAGGAACGGGACACTTGAAATTACGCTTAATTGGTGAAGGAAACAATGCCGTAAGGCATTCGGGGGGAAAATGATAAGGAAAACTCCCTAATTACAAACAAGATTTTCCACGGAAATAAAAGGGGTTGAAGAAGCAGCGCCTGGGAATTACAATTTTGATCCAAAGTTCTTTCGGTTTTTTTTGTTTCTATTTGCGATCAAGTTGCAGCTTAGAAAATGTCCCACGTCCCCCCCCCATATTACGATTTCGATTTTTTAATAAATATTTGACATGGAATTTTCACTTAAGCCTCCACGGAAAATGCATTGTGTGCAAACAGGCGGTGGAAATGCAACCCTAAGCGGAAAATTTGTTTAAACAACTGAGCAAATATATGGATGTTATATTTCTGAAGGGGTAACTTCTTTATAATTTTTTTATTTCCCAAAAAATCGGGTGTATTTCTCCCCCAAAAACAAAAAAATTGATTCCAACAAAAAATTGTTAAGCTGGCAATCAAAATACAAATAATATAGAAGCCTTTGTTGTCCAACTGAAGCACCTGAGTATTTGGAACAAGGACATTTATAGGAAATTATGGTACTCACCCCTTAGACAGGACTCACTCAATTTATTGCCATGCTGACTTTGGGCAGTGTGCATTTTGCAACAAATTACGGATCCTTTATAATCCCTTTTTATAAACCTTCAACTGGTTATGGTCCTTTGTTGTCCTAAATAGTATTTTCCAAATCACTGATCACACACAAAGGATTCGCCCTCAATTGCGCAATTATTTTAGAGTTACAAAAAAAAAGAAACTAAAACTAAAAAAAGCACAGTCTGCTTAATTTTAAATTGTAAATAATAAATGATGGATATATTTTATATTTTTAAATCGTTATAGAGAGCTGTTTAGTTAAAATATTTTAAAAATCCTTGAAGCTCCTCAAAGTAGGCCATATTTTTGGCAACCAAACGTCCTTCAAACTTCAAAAATCATAGCCTACTTTTGTACATCTTTTTTGTTATTAAATAGCTTATGAACAAAATTTACAAAATTTTATCAAAAATATAGATGGCCTGGAGAAAACATTTAAAGGAGGGCTTGTCTGACTGTACGATCGTCACATTCAGTCAGAATATATTTTGACGGCAACATTCGAACAGCTCCCAAAAATTTCCCAAAAACAAAAAATATAAAAATATATTATTAGAAAAGAAGGACAAAGACATTTGCCACTTCCGTCGTGACGTTTGGATGGTGCCTACACCAATGAATATGATTATATATATATTTTGAACAAAGAATAATCATAATAATTCATAATAATTACACAACCGATGAACAATACGGCGTAAGTACATTTCATAAGTGACTATCATATCAGTGTATATTTAGTGAAAGCCCCAAGCTAAAAGAAAAGTTATAGTTCTTAGACTTGACCAACACTTAACCAATTACTTAACTTAACCAATAAGACTTAACCAACACTAAAGATTTAAGATTAATGTGCCAACTCACCTAACCAATGACTGACTAGTCACTAGGTATTCCTAGTTCCAAAAAAGGTTTATGGTTATTTTAAGTCTTGCATTCTTTTCCACAGTATTTCCTACAAATATTTTGTTCGCTCCACTTGGCACTTGGCTCCAAGTTGGCTGCGATCCACATAACGCTCCTTCGCCATCGCATTCGATTCCATTTGTTGCCCTATTGGGCCCCAGCGGCGTATATACTATCTATAGGAAGGTGTAATTCCAGGACGATGTCGGATAAAAGGGGGTTTGTTGACGACGACCTGGAAGATGATGACAAGAATAAAAAGTATCGCAAGTTAACCAACACCATACATATCGACAACCAGGGTAATGATGATGGGGAGGGTCAGGAGACGAAGACCGTTTCCGCTGCTTTGCCCGTTCCGGAACCTGCTCCGGCTCTCACTCGTATCGACCAATTCCGTCAAACGGTGGATCAGCATCTGGCCATGCTTGAGCAGAAATTCGAGGCGACCTACAACGCCAATAATAGGTATGACTTTGAGAGCTATGAACCTGAGGAACCGGCGACCTCGAAAGTTCTTGTAAAGACTTGGAGAAACATAAGGAAGCCACTGACACAAGACACTGCGGAAAACGCTTCGATGTCCCCACGCCTTCCGGACAAGAATGATGTTGTAGATGTGGACGATGACGACGATGATACATCTGATAGTTCCAGCTCTTTTTTAGCATCCGAGCACATCGAAATCGAATATGGGCAGAGCAACAACGGCGTGGAGGAGAGCCAGGCCGAGTATCGGGCCGGGGGCTATCATCCAGTGGCCGTTGGCGATATCTTTCATAGTCGTTACTATGCCATTTATAAGCTCGGCTGGGGCCACTTTTCGACGGTGTGGCTATGCTTTGACAGCAAGATGGAACAGTATTGCGCCATCAAGGTGGTCAAATCGGCGGAGCACTACACAGAAACGGCACGCGATGAGATTCGGCTGCTCCGCACGTTGTCCGATGCCGACTGGCATAATCTGCGTGATCGATTGGTTGAGTTTCGTGACTATTTCTACATGAGCGGCCTGAACGGCACCCATCTGTGTCTCGTGTTCGAGGTGTTGGGCGATAATCTGCTCACCCTGATCCAGCGATCCCGCTACCAGGGACTGCCCATCTACAACGTCAAGCAGATAGCGCGGCAGGTGCTCGAGGGTCTCCGCTTTCTTCACGACCAGTGCCAGATCATACACACCGATCTGAAGCCGGAGAATGTGCTGCTGGTAGGGGACAATGTGGCGGTCCGGACTCAGGCCACTCAGGTGGCTACTGCCTTTTTGCGGGCTCATTCCCATCGCTCAAGGTAGACCCTTCGAAGGATATCTGCAAAAGAGTAGAAGCTTTCATTAATCATTTTTTTTTTTTTTCAGGAAAAAAGGAAACAGCAGCGGCTTGTCCTCGGCGCGGTCCACATGCGCCCCAGCTAAGGAGGAGGTGGTCACTGATCACTGCGGTCGACCGACCCAGACTCCAGTTCCCCAAACACAAGAACTGTCGCCCATTGCCGAGGATAAGACTGCATGCACATCAGGTGCAAGTCCCACATCACCACGAGCCAACGGCTCCAATTCGTCCAATGACGCCAAACTGACGAAGACGGCCAAGAGGCGGATGAGGGCTCGCACCAAACGTAGTGTCGCCTTTTTCCGGCAGCACTGTCAGTGGCTGCGCCAGCAGGGCGTCGCGGATCTCCTGGGATTGGCGGAAAAGGGTCTGCTTACTCCGACAATTGCGGCCATGGGTGTGACTGGGAAACTGCCCTTCATGCCCTTCTCCTTTGACGGTCTGGTGATCCTCGACGAAGCGGACATCGTGCAGCTGGAGCGGGAGTCGCTAATAGAAAGGGTGGGCGATACAGCGTCGCATAAGCGAAATAGAGAAGGGCTGGACCCTCCGAAGACTCCTAGACGCTCCAAACGTCGCCAATCGGGGAAACAGAAGAAGGACACCTCCAAGATTCCGGCCAGGAACTCCGCTGCCCTAAACTTGCTCATCAAAAGTCCGGAAGAGTTTATGCTGTACGTGCAGACGAAGGTGGCCGAGGCGGATATGGCGGAAAAGGCGCGCCAGCTGCTGTCCAAAAGCAAACGTGGCGGGAGCATCAAGAAGACCAGACAAGGCTCCAAGAAGAAGAGCCCCTCTAGAACGGGAGGATCCCGGTACAGTGCAGGCGGAGTCGGCGTAGTAGCCCAGGTATGTTGTCCCTATTTCTGCTTGTTTCAACGCTTTCATCGGAAACTTTTACAGGACAAGGACAAGGAGTCAAGAACATTGCCCAATATGGACATCAATTCCCGCAAGGATCCAGCGTTGGAACAGTGCATAGTTAAAGTCAAGATAGCTGACATGGGCAATGGGTGTTGGTTCCATCATCATTTCACCGACGACATACAAACGCGGGAGTACCGGGCAGTGGAGGTGATTCTGGGCGCGGGCTACAGCGAAACGGCGGACATCTGGAGCGCAGGTTGTCTGTTTTGGGAACTGGCCACGGGCGATTATCTATTTGATCCGCAGGTGGACCGCGGCAAGGCCAGCCAAGACGAGGCGCACATTGCCAAAATTATCGAGACGTGCGGTCCGATTCCCCAGGAGCTGATCGATCATGGGGACTTCTCCATGGAAATCTTCAAGTCGAACGGCGATCTAAGGACCATCAATAACTTAAAGTCGCGTAATCTGGTCGATGTCCTGATGAATCAGTACGGATGGAAGCGCAAGGACGCCGTGGAGTTTGTGGCATTTTTGGAGCCGATGCTTAACACGGATCCACATCGCCGGGTCTGTGCCCTTGATGCGATGTTCCATAGTTGGTTGGTCCGGGACGATGATGAGTGTCAGGGTCGAGACGTTGACAAGGATAGGGATTGGAAAATATCGGATGATCGGAAGAGAGCATGGGATAGCGTATGGAATCAAGAGCAGGAACTGGATCGGGATAATGATAACAACCATACTCTTACCGAACGTAATGCAGATGGCGGGACAACGAGCATTGGCCGTGGCGGAGGTGGAAAAACACTGCGATACTCCTCATCTGCTCCGGGAAAATTCAAAGGCGGCATGAATTAGCAAGATTCGTAATTATCTACGTAAGACAGTCTTGGTGTCGCCATAATCCCATAGTGAAGTATATATTGTTATGTAAAGATCGTACACCTCCAAGCAAGTGTCCATCCGTTAATTTAATTAGGCAGGCCTATGTAGGTTAATATTTCAAATTTAAATAAAGTGCGCCTGCAGTGGTATTTATGTTTGTATGATAATGGGAATATACTGGTTGCCAAAAAGTTTGGCGCTCGCCATCTTGAAAAAACGGTCTACATAAATCGAACATCAAAGATTAATCGATTTTTCTAAGAATTAGCGATGGGAACTTGAAAAGTATCTGCATTTATAAATAAGCAAAAATGCCATCACTAGCAAGCAGCTGATTGGTGGCCTACCATCTCTAGAACTTAACGTGCCAAACGACAAATTGAAAGCGCGCGCTGTTTACTTCCACTCGTATATGCCAAAGTCCATGGTCGGTGTTCTATTTAGCTGTTCCGCAATAAACTGATTGATCCGGTTCACCACTCAATGCATTAACCTAGTGAGTTTATTGGTGGCTTAACGCCAAACAAACCGTAAAGTTTGTTTAAACATTAGAGCCCATGGGGTGTTTGGCGTTGTTTGTTATATAAAGTTCGCCAAATTGTCCAAATTGATAACAACAGGCACCCAGCTGATAAACGTACACAAACCGCATCTCATGCGGAAACAATTCAAAGCACTCACACAGTCGCAGGTGCACAAACAACAACACCGCCACCCGCCCACACGCACCTTGGATTGTCATTCAAGGTTGCGGGTTAGAGATGATCGATATTTAGTCACGGTTTATCAAAATAAAACTTGTCTAAAAAAAAATTATAATAAAATAAAAAAAAAACAAATATAATATAAAAATAAATAAAATAAAAATTATATTTTAATATTAATTTTAAGAATCGTTTCACTCACTCATCTCTATGTCACGTTTAGTACAAAAGGTCTGAGCGCCAAGTTCGAAATGTCAAAAACAGTCTCGTTTATATCCCTTATCTTTAGCCGCCGAAAGATAGAAGTTACCACCACATAGGCCCATCCGCATAGTATCTGTTCATCTACGAAATCCAGTGGAATTTTCGGTTATAAAAAGGTTATATTAATAGTAAGAGCCTTCCTAAATCACAGAGGCTTTTTTATTTAATTCAAGCTTATTAATTGCACATACTTACACCACTTTTGTCTTTTTTCGTATTCAGCATGCTGGGGGATTGGTTACGACGCCTCGAACTCTGGAAACACTGAGCTGCATCCTCCCTACACCCCGCTGCTGCACTCCGTCCTGTTCCTGTTCCTATTCCAATAGAATCCACTCTGTCAACGTGATTGGCCTTCGTCGTTATATTGCGCAATTATTTAATGTTGGCTACGAGTCTCCTGGGTCGCAGAAACTGTCTAAACCTGTCGACGTTCTATTTATGGAGGACGCTTATCCGGACCACTAGACCCCGCTCCACAACAGCGGCGCTGAGAATCCAAGCCAAGAATTCATACCCTCCACAGCTCCCAAAGCCAATCCAACGCCAATACTCAACGTGAGTAAGAATACTTTATGCCTAAATCATAAAATGAATAAATAATTTAATGATTTACAAATCTAGTAACACAAATAAGGGCATGGAGTCTCCACCTGGTGTTTTTCGTGGTATAATCGACCGTTTCGCCGGTGTCACAGTCGACGGTCGTGAGGAGCATGTGGATGTCTCGGGCTTTCGGGAGAAATTAAACAGTAAGAAGTCATTAAAAATCTATAGCTTGAATTAAAATCTTAATTAAATTCCCGTAGAATCCCTTGACTTTTGGAGGACAAACAAGAACCGAGCGATATGGTTCCGTGTATACAAGGAGCAGGCCGATTGGGTGCCGGTACTGGCCGAGAACGGGTTCGATTTCCACCATGCTCGTACCGGAGTGGTGGTCATGTACCAGTGGCTGCCCAAGGACGAGTCCAGCAACCTGCCAAACTATGCGCACACGCTGATGGGCGTCGGTGGGCTGGTGATCAACGACAAGGACGAGGTCCTGGTGGTGACCGACAGGTTCGCAATGATTCCGAACAGCTGGAAGCTGCCCGGTGGCTATGTGGAGCCGCGTGAGGACTTTGTTGACGCCGCCATTCGCGAGGTGGCCGAGGAAACGGGCATTCAGTCAGAGTTCAGATCGTTGGTCTCCATGCGCCACTCACACTACGGAAATTTCGGCTGCTCCGATGTGTACATCGTGGTGGCCCTGAAGCCACTCAACCTGGAATTTAAGCGATGCGAACGCGAGATCGCCCGGGTGCAATGGATGCCGATTGAGGAGTACCTGAATCATCCCCAGGTGCACGAGACGAATCGTCAGTTCTTGAGCACATATCTGGACTACAAGAAGCGCGGCCTGACCATAACCGTGCGCGATGAGGTGCATCAGGTGCTGAAGAAGAAGTACAATTTGTATTTTGTGGAGCGGGCGCAGTCGGAGAGCTCTTGAACGGATCCATAGCCAAATCCTAGTGCAATTTCTATAATAGTTTTGTTTTTATCCAGCAACTGCACAATTCTGTCAAATAAAATTTATTTTTGTAGGTCGATGGAGGAGCTCAGGAAGTTGCCTAAAACTTCTTCAAAAATCAAAGATTTAAATGCTAAAATTTAAATAAATATTGTACATAAATAAAAACCATTTACAAAAAATTATTTCTTTGTTTTATTAATATGTGAGTTTTTACAGAAGATTGGCTCCAAAGTTGTTCATTTTTGAGGACAAATCTTTCCAAGTCCATTACCAAACTTCTTCGACTTCATATATGGTTAGAGGATCGGTGGAGATTTCCCACAGGCGATTAAACTCCGCCTGAAAGATCTCGGCATTTTCTGCGTCGTAGCTGATGAGGCAGTTCTCCCGGTTGCCGCCAAAGCCCTCCATTGTCCAGTTTATGGAGCCGGTAGCGAACGTTGTTACGAAAGGACGATGATGGCTAAATCCCCGGCTTTTCTGGACGGCCATCACTCGGGACGCGGCGTCCACCACAAAGAACTTGTGGTGCATTAGGGCATTGGAGTTTAACGGGTTTTGGGGTACGCGCACCTGAACCCCAAAATGGCGCAACGTTTTGAAGGGTTGCGAATCTGCTGCCTTGGCATGGGTGATTATACGAACACATGCGTTTCGGCTTAATGCTCGTTGTAACGCATTCGTCATGACCACGGATGTGAACGCAAAAATGGCTACATCTACGGAATATACCGCTGCATCGATCCGGTTCAAAATCTTTTGCTTTTGAAGCGAGCTGCAATAGGGATTGCCGCAATCCTGTTTCTCCTTCGGCACACGCAATCGATCGAAGTGGTAGTGCTTCGTTATACAGTCCTCGCCCAGCTCGTTGAAGATGGCCAGCTCAAATGGAGCTGGTTCTGGTTCTGGCGTTTTCCTTATTTTCCTCCAGATCCAACAGACAAGCTCAGATCCCAGAACCATGACAGTTGATGCGCCGATTGTAGCCCAGACCTGGTGGTTTTCCATCCAATTTAAACAGAGATGCAAAGCCTCGGAAGTTTCCATTCCAACAATTTGTTTGAACATCGTTCTCCGTCCAAGTGCGCTTCCTCTCCAGAGTTTAAAAAAAGGGCTGCAAACGCGCGTCGTACATCAATCGAGGGCTGCAAAACAGTGTTATAAAAAAACAGTGTTGAAAAAAAGCACGTGCTTTAGCACGGTCTTAATTTCTTTTCTACTAAATCGTTTTGATAATATTTTAATTAAAATTTTATAAACGTATGCATTCTTTATAAATTATTTAAAATGTATAAGAAAGTTATTCGCGCCTCGTACATCAATCGAGGACTGCAGTGTTGGAAAAAGCACAAAGAATGCTGGAAAAAAAGCACATGTCATTTCTAGCACGGTTTTAATTTTTTTTTTTTACTAAATACAGAATGGTTTTGATGATATTTTAATTTAAATTGTATAGACAAATTGTATAGACATAAGCTTTGCTTATAATTTATTTAAAATATATTTAATAATAACGTTTTATATCAATCGAGGGCTCAGTGTTGGACCAAAACACGACATGTCATGTCATGCACGGCTTTAGTCTTTTTTTCTAATAAATACTGAATGGTTTTCTTAGTATTTTAATATTATTGAAAGTTATTATTAAAACTTTAATTTAAAACAACTTTTTTACTTAAACACTTTACAATAAAGGAATATATATATGTATAATCCCTTGAGCTCTTCAGAATAAAGTAATTTAAGCTGGCACAGCATTTTATTATGAAAACATAAACAGATCTGATTTCTTCAACTGCCAAATGTTTACAAATCTTTATTTTTGGGAATGGGAATTCATGCGAAACGGGAGAACTATTTTAAATCCAAGATTTTTATTTATCCATAAATAAAATAAATATTTATTTGGCAATAACGTAGCTGACACGACTTTTGTATGCTCTTACAACCGACAATGGCCACAAACATCGAAATCAGATGAAATTAATTTATAGAAAAAAAAAGAGGACCTACGAGGTCCTTGGTGAAGCGTTAAATCCGCTCAAGGCAGTTCATGTTTTCCGAATAAAGCGCCCCTAGAGGTTAGAAACTTCGGTTAGCGGCCATATCCGGCAAAGAACTCGGCTCCGGATGAGGCCAACCGGAATGGGACCGTAGTAACGCGAGTCTGAGCTGTTCCCCTTGTTGTCGCCCTCGATCCAGACGTGGCCACGCGGCACATAGTCCTTCGTCATGATCGGCTTTGGTTTTTTCGGGTCCATACTGTACTCGACCTCGATGGGATGCGGATTCTGGGTGAGCACCTGGTCGCCGGCCACGGCCACGATACGCTTGCAAATGTATTGGCCGGCATTGATGGGCGAAATGGCGATCACAATATCGCCGGGTTTGTAGGCGCGCCAGTGTTTCGACAGCCGCTCGGTGACCAGAACATTGTCCGAGGACAGTGTGGGCTCCATTGAGGGTCCCTTGCACTATAACGAATAGTTATAAAGGTTAATGAGCCAGAAATTATTCCCAAAAACCGCTCACCAGGACAAAGTCACCGATGTACTCGAATGTGCAGTGTGTAAGCGCCGCATAGGCGACGGTATAGCGCATAAGGGTGCCGAGGCGCCTGAGGACCTTCATCGTGGAGTTGGTGGCTTCGATGGCTTTGTATGGTCCACATCCGGCCGCGGTCAGATTATCTCCTGCCGCTCGCTTCTGTTTTCTTTTTTTTGGCGAATGTTTATGTTGTGTAAAAGTTCAGGGCTGCATGAAAGTATCAGCCGGTCTTAAGCCAGGGCTGCCGAAAAAAAAAATACCAAAAATATCGGAAAAACATCATTGAGCGCGAAATTTAAATATAAAATAAAGTTAAAGCTATAAAGGAGTCACAGAAAATATATAAAAAAGACCCAAATTCGGTCAAGAAATTAGCAAACAATTAATTTATTTGCACATAAAACCACATTTATTTATTCCAACTTTTCATCGGTAATTTTGACTACGTTCGCCAGTTCTACGCTGACTTGATTAGAATATAATATACATATATCTCTTAATATTTTCTTAAATCATCTAACATCCAAGTTCGTATATTTCTTGCAGGTCTCCAATTACATTCTTTTAGACTTACGATTAGAAATACATTAGTTTACACTGAGAAGAGTGCTGGGAGGTTGTTAATCTTTAATATTTAATCGAACCAAAGGTATACAAAATGAGATAACTCCTGGAAATCGGCCTGTATATATCTAAAACATATACAGTCACGTATATATGTATAATATAATGGTGTAAGCGTCACAAAAATTTGTAAATTACGTTTAACTAAAGGCAAATAAATATGCAACAGCTATGACTACGCTTGAATTTCAATTTAAATCCAAAAAAAAAAGTTATTAAATACAAATTATGGGGTTTCGCAGCCCCGTCTAACTAAAAATACAAAATAAAGTCAACAATATTGCAATATCGCATAAAATTAATTAAAATTCTACTACGGATTAGTTGCTTGACCGAGATATATCTCATCTGTTCATCGTTTTTGGTTTCTTTCATTTTGTTTGTTGGAATCAAGAGTAGTTTCGCTTCATTAAGCTAAAGGAGTGGTGGGTCTGGAAGATCTGAGTTTACTCCAATTTCTTGCCAGCCACCGGAATCTCCGATTTCTGACGCTTCTCCTGGCGCTCGCGCACATCCACGGCAGCCAGATCGATGCCCGCCACGTAGGCGTGCATCACCGAGATCAGAGCCTTGAGCACGGCGAACGGACCCGTGAGGAAGGCGAGAATCTTAAACAGCGAGGCGCCGAATACTGCAAAGTGGATGAAGTCATAGTTTTGACAAAATTCTCATCAGGATTAAGGGAATACTCACTCAGCGGTCCGTAGGTGAAATGCAAAAGGTACAAGCACACGTAGAACAGTTCGTTGACGCAGCACATGAACGTGAGGATGTCCTTCTGGTAGTACAGCCGCATTATGAAGTTCTCATTGACCTTGTGCGAGCTGCGTCCCACCACCACACTCCTGGAAAGGTAATAGTCGATAGTTAAGTGAAAATCCTTGAAAGTTCGAGGGGAAGACGACATACGTTTGCATGAAGAGCCAGTGACAGGCGACATCAATGGCAATGGACAGCTGGAACCAGAACATGTACTTGGGGTAGAAGTAGGCCAGAGTCACCAGGAGGCCGGTGGTGCCACAGCGATCGGTCAACTGGTCCAGCATGGCACCAAAGCGAGTGCCTGGAACGAAAGGAACAAGCTATGAGTGAGTCATTCTAAGTGCAGGTATGGTTATTTTTAGAATTTTAATATCATTATTGCTTTGGCTATCCAGCCATGACCATATTGGACTTTCGGGGCGTGTCATTGAATAAATATCGGCAGATAACGAGCGCCAGGTGCTTCTTCAAATGTGTGCGTCGTAGCGGGCAAAGTTCGGGCCTTAATTTAATGACAAGCGTGCTGATTTGATTGGATTACCCGGCTCATCATCGAGTGTGTGCCAGTGGGGGGGTGGGGTGCCACAGAGTACGGCTTCTCGGGTGGAGTACTCACTTTGGTTGAAGGCCCGGGCCGCGTGTCCATCGACGGCGTCCAGCAAGGCAGAGGTTACGTAACACCAGCCGGAGATCACATAGTTGGTGGACATGAACCAGAAGGCGATCAGGGCCAGAACGATGCGTGCATAGCCTGGAAAAGCAATGAAAATCAAACATCAACATGACTATGAAATACGGTAGCTGCAAGGGTGTAGTCGGAAAATATTTTCAAGGGGGTCTACAGAAGGGATAAAGAGGGATTTGAAAACAGTTCAAGGAAGACCTTTTAGGCAGGTGGTAATATATATCTATGGAGTGTGGGGACCTATCTTATCTTCAGGTTTAATTAAGTTTTATATTAAAATTAAAATTAAGAGATTATCCTTCAAATTAAAACATTTAATATTTAAATTACTTAAATATATAAAGAACATGTAAGGTATTTTAATCCTCTTAAATCCCCCTTGGATCCCGCCACTGTTCAGAAGTGTGGGCCAGAGGGACGGTTGGTTGACATTGAAGAGAACAAGGTGGCAGCAAGGTGTTGTGCCCCTGAACTTCTTCGTTGCACCTTCGCATTTCACAGGTTGCCATCGCCATCGCTGCTAATCCAATTAGCCCAGATCACTACTATGTTTCATAAACGGCAACATATTCGATTTGTTTACGTGATAAACACAACAATAGAACAACGAAAACATTACAAAAACACACTATATCACTCACCAATCAGATTGGGCACAAAGATGAATACGTTGTCATGCTCGGCAATTGCCATTTTGTGTCGCTGGCTAATATCTCAGCTTAGTTTTGGCCTTTTATTCCTGTTTTTTCCGGGTTTTTAGCGGCGAATCGTGGGTTAAATGCGCTGCCTCCAAATTTTGCGATGTTTTTGCGCTGTATCTGTGCTGTTTAGTGTGACCAGCTACCATTTCTTTTAAAAAGCTGCAAAACAAATAAAAAAATACTATTATTAGATATTATGTAGTATTAAAATAATTATTTAAAATATATGTTTTATAATCTGCTAAGATTAATTAATTAATCTGAAGTTGATAGGTTTTTAATAAAAATAAATTACTCAAAAAAAAAAAAATACCAACTTTTTCCCCATTAACAACACTATAGTGTTTTCCAACACTGTTGCTGCAAGAAAATCTGTTTTTGTTTTTGGCCCATGACGAGTTCCACAACAAAAGCAAAGAAATATGCACACCTAGAGTGATTGCAACAAAGTAATAGCTGCTAATGCTTTAGCCGGATGGGATGGACAAACTCCGCAGCAGCACCAGTCTGGCTGGTATCGGCTCCTTCACCGCCTCCTCGACGTCCTCGTCGACTGGCACGGAGGCCGCCAATCCCCACCAGAATCCTAGTTCGTCAGCCAGCCAGCAGCTCGATCACTATCCAAGGAATCTGATTGAGCAATATCTAAGGGCCTCCAGTAAAATCAAGAAGTTTGAGCGCGCCGGTTTCTTCAAGTGAGTATCGGCATGAATCATAGCTGGAGAGTGAGAATCCATCCGGTGATTGGCATCTTATTGCAGACGCTTTGCACCCAGTGCCGGTGATGTTCAGGCGGACTTCCAGCGGCTGGCGTACAGCTTCGAGGAGTCGGGCATCCATCAGTACGCCGCCATGTGTCACATTGGCTACGCAAAGTGCGAATCCTATGGCGGCTCCTCGCAGCGCGAGGCGGAGGCATACTTGCGGGCAGCTCGCTCCTTTCTGCGGGCGCACAACGAGAGCGGACGGCTGAACCAGCGCACCTGGCACTCGGGCTTCCGCGAGGGAGCCCTGCACTGCTACCAGCGAGCGACCGAAAAGGCCCTCGACGGAGGCGTCTTTAATGCGGCCATTTTCCGGGAGCTGCGCCAGTTGGAGCCGCAACTGGAGGCCACCAGCAGCCTGGCATCGCCGGCCCACCAGATCCACGACCTGGAGACGAGTGCCGAGACGAGCAGCCAAAGAGGCGACTTCCGCAGCGCCCTGCAGCACTACGACGACATTGTGGACAATATTTACGAGCGGCGGGGTGCCCGGATGTACGGGGACCTGCTCCGGCGCGTGGAAGTGCTCCGCCTGCTGCTGCTGGTGCATCTCAATCTGCCGCCCGCCCGCCAGTCGCCCGCCCACATCAAACTGATCGAGTACTACTACGGCCTGGCCGTGATCGAGTTTGGGGCGCGTCCCAGTGCGTCGTCCCTGGAGGACGACGACTCGGGCCAGCGGCCGGGCGCCTATGTGCCCGAGCAGCAGCAGTACGCCCTGGCGGAGATAGCGTCCGCCTGGGTGGAGCGCAAGATGTACGACCTGAAGCATCTGTTGCGCGATTTTGGCGCCGAGTTCGGTGCCCTGAGCGCTGCGGAGCGGCAGCTACTGAAGACGATGCACGCGGATCTATCGAAGAGTTACTAGACACACACATGTAACTATCGCTGTAAGAGTAACCAAGTCTACCACTAACCTTTGAACGTGCCTACACGGAAACACAAGAAAGTGAAAGTATTTAAGGAGCGCATTCTAAAAGCACATGCAGATTTGAAAAAAAAAAAATGTACAATAAAAAATAAAGGCTAAAGATAATGATCCGGGGGGGGATACTGATTAAAAATACCGAGTTGGTCAGTTAATTCGTTTATTTACCTTGTCAAGCAACTTTTCTCAAAGCAAATTCTCAATTAAGTTGGCTATTTAACACGATACTTGGGATACTGGCTGCATGTTTTCTCATTTTTCTCATTTTTTCAGCTTAAAATCGGCCTAAATTAACATTTATTGTATATAGTTGGTTGTGTTGTTGTTGTTGTTATTTTTAATATAAACAATCAAGTGGATTCGCTTACACACACGCACACACAATTTGTAATTAATTATTTAATAACCTATAATATCCGTTTTTCTTTTTTCTTTTTTTGTTTTTGTAAAATATTTCAATTAATACCCATATCTCTGTTCCTTTCTAATCCGTGGCTTGAACAAAATATATAATTCCAATAATTAAGAATCACGGATCGGATCTGGCTGGGCAGTTATATATACCTATATATTCTTCGATTTTTTGACTCTAAATTACATACTCTGTGGTTTTGTGGTAATATTTATATGTATATAATCTTTAATTAATATATTTAGTGTATATAGTTAAGGCGTAAATAAATTACAAAAAAAAATAAAATATACTTCTTTTTATATATATATATTGTTTTTTTTTTTTAAACTTTAATTATTTTTTTTATATGAAACCTAGCGAAGAAATTAAACGAAATTACATAAGCGCAAGATCACAAGCAGTTTTTTGTAGTTGTTGTTGTTGGTTTGTTGTTGTTGTTTTTCATAATCCATTTTGATAACTATATATATATATATATATATATATATATTTATAATTTTTATTTAATATTTAATTCGACACATAAAAGCAAAAAAATTCAGCTAAAAATTTGTGTATTGGTATTGGGTTGGTCTTGTCTGTGTGTGTGTAAGGAGTGGGCGGAAGGGGGGGGGCAGGATGAGGAGAATCCTCTCACGATTTAAACTCAAGACTAATTTCGAAAAATATTGTATCGGGGGGATAACATCACTCGATGTGGATTTTTAAAGAGAAAAGTGTGGTGGCCAGAATGTCTGTTTTTAAGGGGGTGTTCCTAGTGTGTATGCAGGTGTATATGGTGTGTATGGTGTGTATGGTGTGTGTGGTTTGGGATTCACATGTATCTACGACGTAACTAAACATTTCCAAGCGCCTTTCTACTTTCCCGCCTTGGCCTTCTTCTCGTTCTCGGAGACAATCTTGCTCTTCAGATGATCCTTGTAGGTGAGAATACCGCCCTTCCACTTGGTAACCGTCTCCTTCTCGCACACCCAAATCTCCTCAGCCACCTAGGAACACAGATATACATTAATTCCAAGGACTCTTTAAAGAAAAACCTATCCTTACCTGGTTAATCAAACGGAAATCGTGACTAACAAGAACCATACCGCCATCAAAGTCATTGATCGCATCGGCCAGGGCATCGATAGTCTCCATGTCCAAGTGATTGGTAGGTTCGTCGAGGAGCAGCAGATGGGGCACCTGCCAGGCCAGCCAGGCGAACACGACCCGGCAACGCTGTCCATCGGAGAGCTGGCGAATGGGGCAGACCTGCTGCCGACCTGTCAGACCGTACCGGCCGATGATCTTGCGCATCTCCTCCTTCTCCTTGACGTCGGGGAAGGCGCGCATCATGTACTCCAGCGGACTGGCGTCCAGATCGAGCAGCTCGTGCAAGTGCTGATGGTAGCGGGCGATGCGCAGATGCGAATTCTTGCGAATCATTCCGGAGGTGGGCACCAAATCGCCATACAGCAGCTTCAGGAGCGTGGATTTGCCGGCACCGTTGGGTCCCACCAGGGCTAGACGTGTGTCCAGATCGATACCGAACTCTAGATTCTTGTAGATCCAAGGCGTTTCATCGTTGTATCGGAAATTAACATTCTGGAATGTCCAAGGATTAGGGAAATGGAAGACTTTTGGTACACCAGAGACGGGATCTCGATCTCACCTGCACCATGATAACTGGCGGCGGCACTTTGCCGCAGGAGGGGAAGTAAAAGTTGAGGACCTTGTCGTCGGATACCTTCTCGGTGAGTCCCTGGGCCACCATCTTGGCCAGAGTCTTCTCCTTGGACTGGGCCTGACGGGCCAGCTTGGCCGAACCGTGACCGAACCGGGCGATGTAGTTCTTCATGTGGGCGATCTGATCCTGCTCCCAGTTGTACTGCTTCATCTGGTTCTCCAGCAGCTCCATGCGGGTGCGCACGAAGGCCTCGTAGTTGCCGGTGTAGTACTTCAGTCGCTTGCCCGTCAGGTGGATGATGTTCGTGCAGACGCCGTTGAGGAAGTCCTGCGAGTGCGAAATGAGCACAAGGATGCGCTTGTACTCCTTCAGCTCCTCCTCCAGCCACACACAGGCGTCCAGATCCAAGTGGTTGGTCGGTTCGTCGAGGAGCAGCAGATGCGGCTTCACGAACAGGGCACGGGCGAGGGCGATTCTCATACGCCAACCACCTGGAAAGAGAGCACACCACTGGTTAGAATCCTCTCGAGAATCTAGAGACTGGTTACTAACCTGAAAAGTCCTTGGCTTGTTTCTGTTGCATGGCCTTGTCGAATCCGAGACCGTGGAGAATGCGGGCCGCCTTGGCCTCTGCCTGGTCGGCGGACATGTCATCGAGTCGCTCGTAGATATCGATGAGCTGCTCCTGGGCGTCGTCCTCGTCGCTCATGGCCAGCTCCTCGGCCAGTTTCTCTAGCTTAATGCGCTCCTCGTCCACCTCCATGACGCACTGGAGGGCGCTCTTCGAGCTGGCCGGGATTTCGCGCGTCAAATGGAAGATGTCGATATGCGGGGGAATGGGCACCTCTCGTCCACCGAGCACTGACAGCAGCGATGATTTTCCGCATCCGTTGAGTCCGATCAGACCGTAGCGCCGGCCGCAGTTCAGCTCCAGCATGGTGTCCTGCAGCAGTTCCGATCCAAAGAACGTTATCGAAAAGTTGGCGATCTTAACGTCACGGGAACGCGGATGAACCGCCAACGATCCGGTACAGGATCTAGCCTCTGCACTGATCCTGGCCTCCTCCTCCAGTTTGGCGCACAGCTTCTCCTCCTCGGTCATTTCACGGTCCAGAGGCTGGCCGTTGGTGGTGCCGTTGGTCTTCTTTGTAGATGGTATCTGTTGGATCTTCTTGTTGCGTGCATCCTTCTTGCGCTGCGCATCGCGCTTCTTGGCATCGGATGGCATGGTTTCCGGCTGTAAGATATGGACAAGGAATCGGATGAGATCAGATCCAGGTTTTTTTTTTTTGTATTCTCTGTTTGTAGATTTTAATTCAATATTGTACGATATACTGTGCCCTGCCTCTCCGAAAAAAACTGACATTGGAACCGCCAACTATTCTATAGTTTCCATAGAACTTGGGTGTTTGTTTCGGAAAATCAAACAAATATTACTAAGAATTTCGAAAGCTGAGCTGCTACCACAGCTGGTTGCTTATCTTTCAAGGAAATAAAAAAAAAAAAAAATACTTATCTTTAAGATTACAAAGAACTTTACTTAATTTTTTAGTTTAATTCCTCAAAATCCCTTATAAAAAAAATCCCCTTTTTTTTGGCGGTAAAAATATTGATGGGCAGCACTGGTCCTAGGATCAAGGCCACCACCTGACTGCCCAGGCAGTGCATGCTTTTAGGCGCCCTCCTTACGGTACCAGACCAGATGTTCACACACACACACACACTCAGACAGCTGCACACACAACTGTTTCAACAAAAGTTTTTGAACTCAATTTTAAAATTAGATAGCGTCAGCAAAAACTAAAAAATTTCCACTGTGCTGCCTGCGCTCTCCACTGTGCCTCCCCCCTTTAACCCCCCTCCCCATTGCCATTGCCATTGGCCCCTCTCTTTCGCACTGTCTACCCGTTTCACGCACTGTTGCCGTGCGGACTAGTTCGGGATGCATGAATGGATGATTCACTGTTGGATACCCTCGTGGGCAAGGAACTGCATTGATGCGGGGGGCGGGGGGTGGTGGAATCCAAAAAGAAATGCAGTGAAATTGCGAAAAACTGATAGAAAGAAGTGCCGATCGTCAAGATCTTGCCTCTCTTTCGGCCTCTCGCACGCGTCTCCACGTTACAACACACACAGACAAACACCTACACCAGCACACACACACACAGTGTCTGAGAAACGCGAAATTGCATGTGTATGGCGCTGCGCACATTATTGAATTTTCCACGGAGTGGGCGAATAACGGAAACTCACCTGCAAATGGGTGTTAATAATAAATAAATAAAAAGGTGTTGCGCTCAGGAATCGCAATCGCGGATTTAAGTGCAACCAACGGCTCGGAGGGGAACGGAACGGAATCGGATCGGATCTCGGATCTCACACGTGCACGGAGTAGCTGCTGAAAAGTGCCTGCTGCTCTTGATAGTGTTGGCACTTTAGCTATTTCCCCTCAATTCTAGCCGTTTTTTTGTGCTAAAACGGGTCACACTGGCCTCGGGTGCCGGTAAAATATTAGATGTCAAATATTCAATTTTACTAATTTGTGGTCTACTAGATTTTTAAAAACAAACTATTTCAATAAAAAACATATTTTCAAAAACCCTAAATAATTGCAAACGTTAATTCAGAAAATAATCCATTTGAATATTTTTATGCAACCAGGTTTAGTATTTATCCTTAGTTAAAATAAATTTATATAAATTACTAATTAAACTAATGTTTTGATGAAATTAACTTATTAAATTAATTAAACAAATTCATTAAAATGAAACTTTTAAATGCACGATCGCTTGGTAAAAAATAAGACCGTTTATTACCTTTTTATTTGGTATTTTTTGACATATAACACAGGCCGGTTATATTAATTTCACCTGATTCATAGCGGCATCCCGCATATAGATTGCCGATGCTTACTCGAATTTTTATTTAAAACCCATTATTTATAATAAAAAACTTAAACAAAAGTCCCAAGTTTTTATTTTCGAAAAATACGAGAATTGGTATTTTTACAAAATACCAAATACTTTATCCGATAGTTCAGTTATATGGCAGCTAAAAGATATAGTCGACAGATCCTTATGAAATTTGGTAAGTCGGAAATCTGTAGGAACTTCCCACATTTTAACTTAAAAACAAAAAAGGTGGGTTATTTCCGATAGTTCAGTTATATGGCATCTATAGGATGAAGTCCCCTATATGGTCCACTGCGATGGCTATATCTTCCCCAATTCTCATCCGATTCTCAAGCGGATAGTTTTAATCGATTTCTGGATCGATTTACTACCATTCTGCATCAAAATCCCGAGACAAAATATTTATTAGATTTTTTGTCCATTTTTCCTGATGGGATCCCTTAAAAATGCTGTTTTCCCTATAGGGCCCACTGCGATGTCTATATCTTTCCCAATTCTTATCCGATTCTCAAGCGGATAGTTTTAATCGATTTCTGGATCGATTTGCCACCATTCTGCATAAAAATCCCGAGACAAAATATTTATTAGATTTTTTGTCCATTTTTCCTGATGGGATCCCTTAAAAATGCTGTTTTCCCTATAGGGCCCACTGCGACGTCTATATCTTCCCCAATTCTCATCCGATTCTCAAGCGGATAGTTTTAATCGATTTCTGGATCGATTTGCCACCATTCTGCATCAAAATCCAGAGACAAAATATTTATTAGATTTTTTGTCCATTTTTCCTGATGGGATCCCTTAAAAATGCAGTTTTCCCTATAGGGCCCACTGCGATGTCTATATCTTCCCCAATTCTCATCCGATTCTCAAGCGGATAGTTTTAATCGATTTCTAGATCGATTTGCTACCATTCTGCACCAAAATTCCGAGACAAAATATTTTTTAGATTTTTTGTCCATTTTTCCTGATGGGATCCCTTAAAAATGCAGTTTTCCCTATAGGGCCCACTGCGATGTCTATATCTTCCCCAATTCTCATCCGATTCTCAAGCGGATAGTTTTAATTGATTTCTGGATCGATTTGCTACCATTCTGCGTCAAAATCCCGAGACAAAAATTTTTTTTAGATTTTTGTCCATTTTTTTGTGTTTTTCCTTTTGGATCCTTATGAAAGCTGGAATGTCGTATTATTTTGCCAAAAATGTAAAAAATACTGTTAAAATACCGAAGCCGAAGCTTATTTTGAATCAATAAATGAATTAATGAAACAAAACTGTTTTTTAAATTTCTTTACATAAAATATATAACATAAATATATGTTTTATAAAATTAAATTAAAAAAAAATGTAAATTAATACCAAAGAAATTCAACAATTATATAAAACTATCGGTAAAACGCGTTATGGTTTTTAGAGAACTCTTCTTGTGAGCTGCCTCACTAATCCATAGTAAACAAAAATTTTGTTGTTTATCAAAGTTGTTTTCTTCTTGGGGACCGAACGGGATTTGGAAACCAGACAGGACTTGGCCATGTCGAAGTTGAACGACACCAAGATTCCAATCACGGAGTTTCTGGAGGCCTACCGCCGTCAGCCGTGCCTCTACAACTCACTGCTGGACACATACAAGAACCGAGAATCCCGAGAAGAGGCTTATGGGGCGATAATCCGTGCCTTGAAGATCCCCCAACTGACCGTGGTGGACATTAAACTAAAGATAAAGAGCGTTCGCACCGTCTACTCCAAGGAGCTGCGCATATGGATGCGGGAGAAGGAGCTGGGCCGGAGCTACGAGCCAAAATTGTTCTGGTTCAAGCTGGCTGATTCCTTTCTGCGATCCGTGTCCCTTTCCCACAGCAAAAAGGTGGGATATCCATAATATTTCTTGCTCTTCTTTGTTTAAGTTGGTTCTTCCAGTCCAAGAACAAGAATGGAAGTGCTCCGCAGACACCTATCAAATCAGAAGCTATGGTGCCTTCAGTGAAGATGCTCTTCAACACCACTGCCGATATCAGCATGAGCGAAGATGCCCTGGAGGAGGAGGAAGAGGAGGATGAAACAGCAGCGACGACTGAGACTGGGGTCGAAGAATCAGAGCACCATGAGCAGGATACCCAGGAAAAGGCAGCAGAAAGCAACTGCCTCATAAGCGTGGCCAGTGAAAGGACTGGCCGGGGCAAATCTGAGCTCATTATTGACGATTGCATGGTGGAGGAGCCACAGCACCAGCCCCGGCAGCCGCAGCATATGAATCCTCCTCCGTTTGCTCCACATCCCTCCCTCCATCAACCCGGCCCGCCAGCACAACGAAAAATGAAGTACAACCCAACCGGATGCGAGCCAGCCAGCGATGATGAACTGATGATCTTCGGCCAGAGCATCGCCTCCCAGCTGCGCAACATCACCGACTCCTACTCGAGGTCCGTGGCCAAGCTGCGCATCCAGCAGGTGCTCTTCGAGGCGGAGACGGGTCACTTTCAGAACGTGGACGCCACCAGTCCGCCACAGCTGCAGCATACCTTCTAATCCGTGACGAAGCCGTTTAGTCTATAGACCTTAGTTCGGATATCCGAACTAGAAAAGGGTTTATGAGCCCTTTTTTTTAGATTTGTTTTACGCATTTAGTTAATTTATAATTAAACGCAATATAAATATGCAGTAATTTTATTCCCAGTTTAAGATTTATTTATTCAACTTGTAAATATGTGTTAACAAATAAATAATGTCCATTTTAAACCTGAAAATATATTCAACGATTTTTTTTAAATCTTTGAAATTATTCCGCCAAGAGGATTCTAAAAATGATGCCAAGCATCCCAAAGTTAATTTATTAGTTTTGGTTTTTAAATCCTTTGTTAAAATTGTAATCTTCATTATTTTATCATTCTATAAACATTTAATTATCTTCTGTTTCTTGTTAATATTTTTTCATAAAAATTTAAATTTATTTATCGATAAAAAAGTATCGATGTCTGGCAGCGCCGTTCTAGAGTGTTCTGCGACGTGCTGCCAGACAGGGAAAACAAAAATTTAGGAACAAAATATCGATATCGATATCGCGATAAAAATAAATATTTTCGACGTCCCCGTTCTCCCACCTCTATTGTTTGCCTTTTCACAAAACCAAACGGAGATTGTTAAGCCAACACCAAATTAGAATTTTGTGAACAAACAAAAAACTTTATAGCAGCAATATGCTGATATTAAATATACTTGTGAGTACTGTTTTAACATCCAATTTTTCGTGGCAAGCACATCTAGGCTAAAAAAAAAAAGAGAAGACGCACACATACTAATAAAACGGGCACAAACACTACAGCGATTCTATTCCACTGCATTGTTTCTGTTCTTTTTTTTCACTTTTTTTTTTTTTTTTACACATTTCTACGGTACTTTTTTTCATCAAAGTTGGTCGTATTTTTTTCGTTGTCCCTTTCTTGTATTTTGGCGTTTGGTATTGACGCGTGCGGAAATGTGAAGTGTGCAGATTTCATTGGCATTTGTTCTCTGGTGGAGTGTAGAAAAGTAGAGGCTGTCTCGTGAAATGCAGTGGGGAGGTGAGAGTTTTGTGTGTTGTTGCTGTGGCTGCAATAATGAAAATTCGGTGAAACAGGCCCAGACATGCACACACCATATACAATAATGCCGTGTGTGTGTGTGTGTGCGTGCCTGGGTGTTTGTGTGTGAGTGGCCATTTTCAATTGTTATTGTGAATTGTAAAGTTTCCGTCGCAGGAAATGAAAACGCGCACCAAAAATTTGCGGAAAGAAAAGTGTTCTCGTCTTTGCAACCTGAGACATGCACGCACACATACGGTATACGGTCTGCACATTATTGTGTATGTGTGAGTGCGTGTTTGTGTGAAGGGAACGGTGACGGTGACGGAGGGGAAAAAGTTTTCAGCTTCTTTTTTTTTTTTTGCAAAAAGTTACTCCTGTTTTGGGTTGTTTTTGTTCAAGTCAACCTTGACTTACGCACTATTCTGTGGCGCTGTGGGGACAAACTTCCCCACCACTCTTACTTTCCCCCCGCTTGGCGCTCATTTGACATTTTGCCTCAAACATGTTGCGTTTGGATGTGCTCTTGTGTTGGTGCCTGGCCGATACTCATGTTTCCAAGTGTTTGTGTGTGTGTGTGTTTGTATGCAAGCTAAATAAAACAAAAAAAAAAATAAAAGAAAGAATTGAATCGGAAATCCAAGTCGTACACCTCATTTTCCTTACCGAGTATCCCGAGTATCGAGTATATTCCCCGAAAACTCGGTTCTGTTGATGCGCGCGCGCCCTCTGTTTTGCTTTCTTTTCTTTTCTTTTTATTATCCTTTTATGCTTGATTCTATAATTTGTGAAATTTTCATGTTTTTATTTGTTTGCGACTCCCGTCTTGGTCTCCCAGCTGACAAGTGCCGTTAGCTCAGGTATTCCTGTCAGATCATGAGTGCGCCTGTAGGCGTAGGGCTCTCGGCTTGCTTGTTATTCGAAAAAAAAAAAAAACAAAAATAGACATGTTTATCATATGTGTATCGTATACTCACTCACACTTGCTATTCCGATCCTGCAGATTATTGAACACGCCGACGAAGTATACATCTAGACCGCAATTCGATGCTTAACCAATAAACACAACAACCCGATAACCGATCGACTGCCGCCGCCGCCGTCGCAACCCCACACCGTACCACTCTACACCGCCTGGAGCGCCCCCCTTATACCATCTCGCCACAGTAGGAAGATAGCCGTTGCAGCCGGTAGTGCAACCGGAAGATCGCATTAGTCCGCAGCCGGTAGTGGCTGCCAGTTGGAATCCTTTCGAAGTAGTGCTGACGCCGCCGCCGCCACTGGTGCTGTAACTGCTGCTGCCTCCGCCGCCGACGCCACCAGCATCGGAGCCGGAGTCGGAACCGGACCCGGACGCGGACGCACTGCACCGGCTGCCCTCCCTCCGGCTCGCAATCCGATCGCAATGAAGGTGGACACGGTGAAGCTAAAGAAGGGCTCCTCGGAGCTAACGGCCGAGTGCCGTGAACTGATCGATGAGCTGACCAAACGGCGCAGCCGCGCGGAGCTGTTAGAGTTCCTCGACACTGTGCACGTCTGGATATATGGCAAGTGCGAGCTCTACCACTGGATCGAGATTCTCGACCGATTCGACAAGATACTCGAGGAGGCGGCGCGCCATGTCAACGCCAACGAGTTTGTCCTGCAGTGCGACACCAATTTCCAGGACCAGGTGAGTAATGCCCCTTGTTTTTAATTCGAATCAGAGTTACTAAGTTAAAAATAAGTCAGTTTTTAAAACAAAAACCACAAATATTAGTCCGAAATCAATAAAAGTCATATTTTAGGTTATGGTCTTCAGCATTCAGACAAGCATGGGCATGTTTGTGGTTCTAGTCTTGAGATTTCAGACAAGTGTGGCCAAACTTTAGATTATGGTCTTGAGCTTGCAGACAAGTGTGACCATATTTTAGGTTATGGACTTCAGCACGTGGACACATTTTAGGTTATGGTCTTGAACTTTCAGACAAGCATGGGCATGTTTTAGGTTATGGTCTTGCAGACAAATACAAACATGTTTACTGCCTGCTACCTTGTTTGGAGGTTAGGTTTTCTCTGAAAACCAACCTTTCTTGGGAATTCGTTGAGGAAATGGGTATATTTTTTTAATGAGAACTACTGGGCTATTGGAAATCCGAAGCCAAGCCAGAAATTGGATCCACAAGTGGAGTGCCAATTCCATTGAACCTTCATGAAGGTTAAAGTCAAGGAAAAAAACAAAAGAGGGCTGAGACATGGGGGAAATGCATTCTACTTGTGATATATTTAGAATTCTTCGTACTCACCCTTTCCTATCCTGATTCAAGGATGTCACATTGCTGCTGCACGTGCTCAACTTCACCACACTGCTGATAGAGCACTCGTTTTCGCGACATCTGTACAACTCGATCGAGCACCTGACCCAGCTGCTCTCCTCCCAGAACATGGACATTGTCCTGGCCGTCCTCAACCTGCTCTACATGTTCTCGAAGCGCAGCAACTTCATCCCACGCCTGCCCTTCGAGAAGAAGGAGCTGCTGATCGTCAAGCTCTTCAACATAGCTGAGGTGAGTTATCATGATTCTCTCCATCAACTCCATCCTAATCCTCGTCTGATTATAGCGCTGGGGCGATCCCAACTATGGTCTGTCGCTCAAGGACTGCTGCATCGGCGAGCCAAAGCTGGAGTTCCTCTACCAGCTGTGCATCGACTATGTGGACGAGCACGGTCATGCCGCCCAGCTGGAAATCCCGGACATGATGGACCTCTGCCACACGGCAGCGGCTCCCGAGGTAATCAAAACGATTGCCGGCCAGATCTCAAAGCCCAGTGAGGCCATCAAGGTGGGTACTCCATCCCAAGGGGTTCTTGTCCATCCCGCTAATGTTTAATCCCTTCGCAGATGCGCATTGCTCATCGTGTTCGCCTGATCTCCGGCTTCAATAACTACAAGCTGCGGCTGCAGTTCGTCCAGGCACGCCTGCAGGCCGTCTCCATACTGATTTACTCCAACGCCCTGCAGGACAACACGGACAAGGTCCTGTACGCCGGCTTCGGCGAGGAGCTGTGCGAACTGATCGACAAGGAGGACGTCCATCTGGTGGAGATCCGGGCCGCTGTGCTGCGCACGCTCACCTCGATGCTCCACTTTGATCGCAATCCGAATGTGCCAAGGTGAGTACGCCCCCGCCAAACATCCACCTCTTCAGAGGATTCATGAGTGCTTCCCTTGTAATCGTGCAGCAGAGCCGGATCGCGTCTGATGAAGATCGTGCACTATACGGGTGCCGAACGGCAGGGCGGGACACTGCCGCTCCTGGTGCGCGACTGCATCGATAACCTGACCACACATGGACTGACCGAGCGGTATCCGCTCATCCTGGCCACCTCGCTCTTCTCGCTGCTGTACCACCTGGCCAGCTACGAGATGGGCGGCTCGGCGCTGGTCAAGAGCGGCATGATGCAGTCGCTCCTGTGCGTCATCAGCTGGCCGGGCGTCGACCTGGAGCACATCACCTTTGTGACCCGGGCGGTGCGGGTGATCGACCTCATAACCAACATAGACATTGCCAGATTCCATCAGAACAACGGACTGAACGTCTTCATCGATCGCCTGGAGAAGGAGATCAAGAGCTGCTGCAAGGCTCTGGCCGATATCGGTATAACTCTGAAGGAGTCCACCCTGCGGGATGACCACAAGCTGGACACGTCGCTAGACCAAGTCGACGAGGACGTGGAAGGTGAGTGTTCTTGCTGGAACTGGCTACTCCGATATAGTTTCTAATTCCCTCTGATTCTCCTCCAGATGCCGCCACTGAGAACGCCTCGGTGGCCAGTGGTGGCGCCTCGCCACGTCGCGACAGCTCCAGTGACACGGTTGCTAGCCGCGCCTACAGAGCTTACCAGGAGCAGAGCGGAGCATTGGGATTGGGAGCAGCTGGGGGAGCGGTTGCTTCAGGAGCAGGACTCCTGGACATTCGAGGAGTGCTGGGAGGAGGAGCGTCCGGCCAGGATCAGGCCGGCGGAGGCATTCAGCGCGATGGAGGTGCCGCCAGACCGGCCCCCGTCATGTATCCGGCAAACAGCTACTATGCCCGGCCGCTAGCGGAGCGCAAGGCGGAGCTTTCGGCGCAGCTGCCGAGCAGCTTGCAGCCGAAGAAGCCGTCGTGCGTGACCCAGCGGGCCGCGCTGCTCAAGTCGATGCTGAACTTCCTCAAGAAGAGCATCCAGGACCATGCCCACTTCAGCAACATGCGCAACATCATGGAGACCAGCCTCACCCAGTCGCTGCGCCACATCATCGCCAATGCGGAGTACTACGGGCCGTCGCTCTTCCTCCTGGCCACCGACGTGGTGACCGTCTACGTATTCAACGAGCCCTCGCTGCTGTCCTCGCTGCAGGACCTGGGCATCACCAGCGTCATGCTGAAGGCGCTCCTTCAGAAGGATGTGCCGGCCACCAGAGAGGTCCTCGGATCGCTGCCCAACGTCTTCTCCGCCCTCTGCCTGAACGAGCGCGGCCTTTTCGAGTTCCTCTCCTACGATCCCTTCGACAAGGTGCTGAAAGTACTCCTGTCGCCGGACTACCTGGTGGCCATGCGGCGCCGTCGCTCCTCCGACCCGCTCGGCGACACTGCCACCAATCTGGGCAACGCCATGGACGACCTCATCAAGCACCATCCCTACTTGCGGGCCGACGCCACCGAGGCCATTGTCCGGCTGCTGAACGAGCTAGTGCGCCTCGGCTCCGATCCCAGCTTCATCTGCTGGCGCGCCAACAAGGAGAGCAGCGGCTCGGGCTCCGGTTCGGGCAGCCACGGCGGCAGTCATCACGCCGCCTCGGCTCCCTCGCCGGTGAGCGGCCCGGGCGGAGCGGCTTCGGTCCTCCAGAGCGCGGCGGACACCAACGACAGCAGCGGCGACGACGACGACGATGACGATGAGATGAGCTCCGCCTCCCAACAGCAGCAGCAACAACAGCAGCAGGGAGTGGCGGGCACGCCGCGGATTCCCCAGTCCTCCGGAGCAGGAGCAACAGGAGGCGGCGGAGGAGCGACCACCCCGTCCTCATCATCATCGGCCGCCGCATCGCAGGCGGTCAAGTTGGTGGCTCCCTCGACGCCGCCGGAGCGCGAGGCCATCCCACTGATCGATTACATCCTCAACGTGATGAAGTTCATCGAGGCCATATTCAGCAACAGCCCGAACGGAGACCACTGCCGGGAGTTCGTGCTGCACGGCGGCCTGAAGCCGATCCTGCAGCTGCTCTCGCTGCCCAACCTGCCGGTGGACTCGCCCGTCTCCACCACGTCCCAGGCGGTGGCCAACGTGTGCAAGGCGATCCTCAGCCAGGCCCAGGAGACCAAGGTCCTGGACGTGGCCCTGAAGCAGCTGGCGGACATCGTCTCCCAGCTGAAGCCCCTCATCAAGCACTTCACTTTTCCCGGCGGCAGTGTCCTGCTCGCGGAGCTCGTCTGCTGCCAGAAGCTGGAGGACGGCTTCGCCAACGCCGAGTACACACCCATCCTGCACAACATGAGCTTCGTCCACGGGTACGTGGTGATGCTGGTGCATCTGTGCCGCAACGCCTCCACCGACATGCGCGCCATTCTCCTCAAGCGCTGGGGCGTCAACCGTGAAACGGGCGTCCAGCTGCTCCAGCAGCTCGTCCAGCTCTACATCTCGCTGGTGTGGGAGAGCACCATCCTGCTGAATCTCTGCTCCGACGAGCCCACCCAGCACCCGGATCTCATATGGGACGAAATCGCCGCCCAGATGTCGGCGGCAGCGGGCACAGCAGATCCCCTCACGGAGGCGGAGCTGTCCCGGAAGCTGGAGCGCGCTGCGGAGTTCCGGACCAAGTATACGCCGGAGGAGCAGTTCCGCTACATCAAGTCCCTGCTGGCGGCCAGTTCGCGGCTGGGCCGGGCCCTGGCCGAGCTGCTCGGCACGCTGGTGAAGCTGTCGGTGGGCTCGCCCCAGACCCGCCAGCGCCGCATCAACGACCTGATCAGCAACATCAACAAAGTTCCTACGCCGGAGGCGCGCGAGATAGCCCGCATCCTGAGCTCGATCCTGGTGAACGGGTTCAGCCACGAGAGCATCCTGCCCAAGCCGGTGCCCAAGCTGAAGCTGACCTTCCTCATCTGCTCGGTGGGCTTCACCGGGCCGATGCTGTTCGACGACAAGCGCAGCGCCTTCCACCTGATGATCTCACAGTTCTGCGCCGAGAACGGCCTGAAGGCCTTCTTCGAGATGTTCTACTGGGCGCTGTCCCTCGACAACGTCTCCCAGAAGTTCAAGTTCGACCAGTGGGCCACCATGGAGGACCTGATGCAGGCGCACGAGGACGACAAGCGCGACTGCCCGGAGGGCACCGGCGAGTTCCTCGACGCCTGGCTGCAGCTGCTCGAGAAGATGGTGAATCCCCGGGCCATGCTCGACTCCCCCTACACGATGAGTCCGCGACTCAACTACCTGCCGGACTCGGTGCCTTTCGAGCCGGTCTTCTACCTGATCCACATCCACCAGCTGGCCATGCAGGCGCTGCGCCGGATCTGGTCGCGCCGCCCCATTCCCAACTACGGGCCCAGCATGTTCGAGACGATGATCCTCATCCTGAAGCACCTGATCAAGTCGCACCAGACCCTGCTCGACCGCTACCACACGCGCATGAAGGAGATCAAGTTCGAGAACCTCTACATCCGGAGCACGGACGACGGTCTCAACGCCGACCACATCAAGACCCTCACGGACATGGGCTTCACGCACTACCACGTGATCGAGGCCCTGCGCAGCAACGCCTCCTTGGAGGAGGCCACCGACTATCTGCTTAACAACCCGGAGGCCAGTGCCCTGTCCAGCCAGACGGGCGGAACAGCTCCACCCCCGCCGCCTCCGCCCTCGTCAGGCGCCAACATGGACGTAGACATGGAGGCTCCCTCGGACACCAACTGCAAGCCGGCAGGCACCGCCACCGCCACATCCAGCTCCAGTTCGTCCTCAGCGGCACCCTCGGCCACATCAACATACGATTACAAGCACCTGAAGCTGATGCCGCAGCTGATCTTCGACAGATTCTGCGACGAGGCGATATCCCGGGCCTTCGAGTTCATGGAGGCCATTCCGGACACGGTGAACAGCGCCGCCGACCTGATAGCCGTGCTCTACCGCCGCCACAACCACCTGAACAAGCAGGTCTTCGTCACCAACTTTGTGCGCAACATCATCCAGTGGGTGGACTTCACCCTGCAGCTGTTCGAGCCCTCCAAGTCGGGAGGAGGCCAATCGAAGGCCAACCGGCTGGAGGAGTGCCTCACCGGCATGACTGCCACACGGCTGTTCGTCCGCCTGAAGACCTCCACGCTGCTGCTGGAGGAGAACTACAGCGATCTGCACAGGCCGCTGGTGGAAGCCATCACCGCCCAGGACGCGATGGGGCTGTTAGTGAAGCTGCTCGACTGCATGAGCACCTGGATACTGGAACAGGCGGTGGTCACCGGCGATGCCGGCCAGCCGCCGCGCCCTGCTGTACCACGCTGGGTGCAGAACCTGGTGGACCTGATCGATGCCATCGATAGCATCAGCCACATCCTGCAGCGGAAGAGCAACATGCGGGCAGTGAGCAGCGACGTGTGGCGCTGGTACGACGCCTCCACCGGCAAGTGGAACAACTACTCGGACGCCAACAACGAGCTGATCCGGAACGCCTACGCCGCCGGCGAGCGCTGGCTCCACATCAACATCGGACGCCAGCGGTGCACCGTCAGCCTCAACTGCATGACCCAGGTGAGCGAGGCGTCCGGCACCCACCGGCCCGTCTTCCCGGCCCTCAAGCTCAACGATGCCATCGTCAACCTGAACAACCCGGTGGCCCTCCACAAGGTGGAGAACATCCTGAACCGGGTGGTCAGCACGGCGCCCGACGGCTCCGGCACTGTCAACACGGACGAACTGATTTCCGTCCGCCAGCTGGTGAACCTCAACGAGGACGTCCCTGCCAAGGCCGGCGAGGATAAGACCAGCGAGGAGGGCGCCTCGGCCCAGCCAGCGCCAGCCGCCGGAGGAGGATCAGCACGCGCCATGACGACGCGCAGCAAGTCGCGGCAGAAGAACGCCGCCGCCGCAGCGGCCGCTAAGGCAAAGTCATCTAATTCGGGTAGCAAGTCGGGAGGATCGGGAGGAAGTAGTGGATCTGGATCCCCGCCACTGCCCAAGCGGACGCAGAAGATCATACTCAACGAGGAGCACGTGGGCCTGAGCAAGTTCGACTGCGGCCGGATCATCGGAAGCATTGTGGCGCTGCTCCAGCCGGGGCTGCTCCTCCACCACGAGACGAAGCTGTCGCTGCTCCGGCTGTGCGCGCGCCTCACCCGCAACTTCGACAACGCCCAGGTGTTCATCCGGCGCGGCGGTGTGCGGATGCTGCTCCAGCTGCAGCAGTCCTGCAGCTTCATGGGCTTCCCCACCTACGCCATCATCATTCTGCGCCACGTCCTGGAGGCGCCACCCGTCCTCCAGGAGGCCATGGAGCGGGTGCTGGGCATGCGTGCGGCCGGCATCGTTCCCATCAGCCACCGCGACCTCATCTACGTCCTCACCCAGGTCTCTACGGCGGTGTCGCGCAATCCCCAGATCTTCGTGGCCGCCGCCAAGGAGATGCTCAAGGGCGACTACCTGCTGAACCCGGGCTCGACTCCCCTTACGGACGATGCCCGCATCATGGTCAAGTCCAAGTTTGGCCAGCAGCCGACGGCCGCCGCCGGCAACCCCAACCAGACGCAGGGCTCCGGCCAGGACGCCACTTCGCCGACATGCGGCTCCAAGGTGGACTTGAAGGACGATCTGCAGGTGCAGTCCTCGGTGGAGGTGCTGAAGGAACTGCTACTTGCCCTGGTGCAGCCCTGCTGCCACTATGGAGGCATAGCGGCCTCGGATCGGGGACCCCTGGCAGCGGCGGAACTCTTCCAGCCGGACCAGCCCCTGGGAATGGAACCAGACGAGGTAGGTGGCTCACCCATTTCTTCCAGACTTGCTCCTAATGTGATATCCCCTTCCCAGGACACTCCTGCTCCCAGCAAGAAACAGAGCTCCGGCGCAGCCGGCCAGCAGACGGACAAGTTCGAGCCGTGCTGCTGCTCCTGGCACATCCCCACCAGCGCCCACAGCCACGCCAAGCCAGCGCTGTCGCGCGCCACGCTCCTCAAGCTGCTGGCGGACGCCACGCGGGCCTACCAGTCCCTGGTGCCGCGCGTCCTGCTCTCGCACATCTACCATCCGGCGGACAGTCCGCTGATCTCGGCCCCGCAACAGACGTTCCTGGGTGTCCTGCTGGACCGCTTCCTGCCGATCACCCAGCGCCACCACGTGCCCGAGGTGAGCACCATGTCCCGGGTGCTGATCTGCTCCCTCTCGGACTGCTACCAGCAGCCGGGCGTCCAGGTGCAGGTGTCCGAGGAGCTGCACGCCGCCGTGGCGCGGGCCCTCGCCCAGCCGGACTCCACCGAGAAGCACACCCGGCTCCAGGTGCTGATGAGCCTGTTCCCCAACCTGATCGAGTCCCCCATGCTATACGACAAGGTGCACATGCACCGCAACAACATGTACCGCGTGCTCCTGCGCCAGGGAGTGATGACGTACCTGACCAAGATCGCCCAGTACAAGGACCTCTCGAACCACAACACGCTCAGCACGCTGGCGGCCATCCTCCGGCCCATGGAGATCCTGCTGCGCTTCAGTGTGTCCACCACCACGCTGGGCTCGAAGCGCATCCTGTTCGGCAACGGCTCCGGAGCCAACGGACCCGGCAACCCCACCGGGCTGTCGAGCGGCATGAACTCCGGACCGGGCAACACCTACGGAACCATCATCAACCGACGGCTCTATCCGAGGCTGGCGGCCCGCACGGCCGTCAGTGCCGCGGTGGAGCGCTCCAACGCGATCGGAGGCGAGCACGTGCTCCGCGACATCATCCGGAACGTGCTCTCCGACCGGCGCCACGCCTTCGAGTTTATCTTCGATTCGCACGAGATGGCCGTGGACTCTGACGACGTGCCCGCCCCTGGCGGAGGCGGGGGATCCGGCCTGGTTGGCGGAGCCTCTGGAGTCGGCGGAGGAACGGCGGCTGTCATCGATGTGGTGGAGGAGCGCAGCAACGGCGGCGACACCAACGACCCGGGCGGCCTGCCCCCCGTCTCCGGTTCGGCGAACAACGCCTCCGGATCCTCGGGCAACGGCAGCGGACCCGTGCGTCCCGTACTTAACTTTGACCAGCTGTGGGACGACTTCCTCCAGAGCGAGGGCTTGCGTCTGGCGTCCCGGAGCAGCGGCGGTGCCGGATCGGGAGCCGGAAGCGGATCCTCGGGCCAAACTGGTCAACAGAATGGCGGAAACTCGGCCGGAACCAACTCCGGGAGTGCCTCGAACTCAGCCGTTTCCGGAGATCCTCGCCTGCGTTCCAACCCGGACGTGGATGTTGGCAGCGCGGTAGGCGGCGGAAGCCACAATCCCAGCGTAGTGAACGACAATGGCATCGGCGGTGGAGGCGGTAGTGATGGCGCCTCCACCTCCTCAGACACCGGAGCCCCGGGCGGCGCCCGCGAGATGAACGCCTCTATCCTGGGCGACGTGAGCACCTCAGACTCGGACTCGGACGGCTCGACAGAGAACGACGAGCGCAACGAGGACGAGGAGGATGAGGAGGACGAGGACGCCCCCGACGAGGACGTGGACGAGCACAGCGAGACGGACGTGGATGAGGAGCAGCCGGCCCGCCAGTTCATCGAGGTGTTTGATCACATTTACGAGCCCGAGTCCTCGGAGACTGCATCCAACGACGCGGATGTGGACGCCGACGACGACGAGGACGAGGATGAGGACGACGTCGACGAGGACGAAGACGACGATGAGGACGATCCCGACGACGAGGATCGCAACGAGAGCCGTGCCATCGACCAGGAGCTGGAGAACCAGATCGACATAGCCCTGGCCCTCGCCTCGTCCAACAACCGCCCGCGACGCAGTGCAGCCGTCAACGCCTCCGGCTCCGGAGACTCGTCCGCCAATCGGCCCACCGCCGAGGAGGACGACGAGGACGCCGACGTGGATCTGGATGTGGCGGCCGACCGTGCAGAGGCCTACCTCTACGAGAGACTGGGCGGCGACAGCCCCCACCTGATGCCCACGCCCCCGGCCAGCTTCCGGGTGCGCATGAACAGCTCCATTGCCCAGCCCCTGGACATCGACGTGAACGGCGGTGGCTCGGGCGGCGGATCTGGCGCGGGACAGGGTGCCAGTGGCTCCCAGCCGGGCGGCTCCTCATCGAATGCCGCAACAGTCGGACCCACTGCCTCGGCATCGTCTGCCCTCCGCACTTCGTCCGGCTCCTGGATGACCCCGGACTTTAGCTTTATTGGCGGAGCGGGAGGCGGGTCGGGAAGTGGTGCAGGAGGAAGCGGAGCATCTGGCGCCGCTGGAGCCTCCAATGGCGGCGACGCCAACGCCTTCCACGCGGCCACCCTCGCCCAGCTGGAACGCAACGGAGGCCCCTCGGGAAGCGGCATGAGCAACCTTCTGGACGAACATCCGAGCGCTGGCGGCAACCCGGGCGGTGGATCCGCATCGGGAGCCGTTGGTGGGTCGAACAGTATCGGGGCAGGCGGAGGGGCCGGATCCTCGGCCACCCAGCACCCGAATTCGACGCTCTGCGCCACCGGGGTGCGCCGGAGGCTGCTCTACCTGGACCAGCAGTACTGCGTCTGCATGCCCACGCACCAGAACCCCACGGAGGAGACCCAGATGGAGACCTTTACCCAAGACGGTGAGTAAGATGGCATCTCTGCCTGGACCTTTTCTGAAACTCTTCTTTCGCAGCGCTGCACTGGTGGCTGGAGGAGGCCAAGGCCCTGGACATGGAGAGCCAGACGGACGCCTGCTTGTACGCCGCCCACTTCCTCGTCCCACATCTCATCAAGGGCATCAAGAGCTCCTATTACCCGCGGAAGCAGGAGGAGGACAAGGAGGCCGCCCGCATCGCTGCCACCGCCGCCGCGGCTGCCGCTGCCACCTCGGCAACGGGAACAGCCGGAAGCGGATCGGGAGCTGCGGGTGGAGCTGCCACAACCGGCAGTGCAACTGGCACGACGAGCAGCACCGCGTCCACGGCCCCATCCTCACAATCGTCCAGCAACTCGACCAGCAGCAACAGCAGCATCCTGGTGCTTCCCCCGGTGGCTGCGTCCGCCACTGGCGGCACCCGTCGCAGCTCCATACCAGTACTGATCCCCTCTAGCTTTGGAGCTGGATCTGGTGCTGGCACTGGACCGGGAACCACCGGAGCTGGTAGCTCTTCCTCGGGCGATGGAGCAGCCACGACTGCAACGAATCCCTACACACCCTTGACTGGTGAGTGTCCTGATCCGGATGATTCCCATTGCCTTTCGATTTTAGATCTTCGTTTTCCAGCCGCATCCACCACTGGAGGCAGTGGCTCCTTGGACGCGGCAGGAGCGGTGCGCAGCCGCCAGCTCCGCGGATTGCGCCAGCAGAACCAGGTGAACTTCAACATCTACGCGGAGATCGACCTCACCAACGAGCAGGACAGCCAGGGCTCGAGCTCGGGCGGTGGAGGTGGAGGTGGCGGTGGCGGAACCGCGGGCGATGGAGCCGAGCTCCAGAACTCGCAGAACCAGAACCAGAGCCAGAGCCGTCATCCGCCGGTACCGAATCTGCCCAGCAACGGCCGCCCCTCGCGTCCCATCTCCCGCCTGGACGATGCCGAGCTGCTGCTGATGCAGCTGGTTGACCGCCAGACCTCGGCCCGGAGCCGCCCGGCAGCCGGAAACCGCAACGCCGGGTCGCCGCTAATCAACGCCCGTCCTCCCATGCGCGACCTGCCCGCCCGCTTGCAGCGCCTCGTCCAGGCGCACGTCACCGGAAACGGATCCTCCCGCTCCAACCTGGGCCTGGCCGCCCTTTCATCCGCCAGCTCTGGATCAGAGTCCTCGTCTGCTAATCCGCCATCCACTCCGGCGCCGACGCTCGTCTCGGCACCCACACCGATCTCCAGCAGCACGCTGGAGCAGCTGAACGTCGCCGGTGCGGAGAGGAGCTTCGCCCTGCCGTCTTCCCTAGACTTGGACGTGGATGTGCTGCCCGGCATTATGGACCTGCCGCTCCAGGAGGAGCATGAGCAGCAGCAGCAGGTGACACCGCCGCCAGTCAGTGAGAACGCGACGGATCCCCTTTCCGGGCCGGCCGAAGCCTCGGCCTCGACCACGCCCGAGCCAGACCGAGCCGGGGACGACAGTGTTGCGTCCCGGCCTCCATTCATTCCTGCTCGCACACCCGAAGAGGTGGAGTTGATACTATCCCAACTGCCGCGATCTGGAGGAGCCTCCCCACCGGCCTCAGCCGCTGCGGGAGAAACTCCAGCTCCAACTGAATCCTCGACAGAAACGGCCGCCACTAATGCAAGTGGCACTGGATCTGCACCAGAAAGCGGAGCACCGCCTAGTGGAGAATCTGGGCAGGCGACAGCCACGGCAGGAGAAGCTGCTGCTGCGGCCACCGGAGGAGCTAGTGGTGGCTCGGCCGCTGCCAGCACCATTGCCGACATGAGTCCCGAAGTGCGGGCCGCTCTCGGGGACCTGGAAGTGCCGGAGGGCGTGGACCCCTCCTTCCTGGCGGCCCTGCCGAGCGAGATGCGCGAGGAGGTGATCCAGGAGCACCTGCGGATGCAGCGCATCCGCCAGCGGGCGCAGCAGAACGCCATCCAGATCGCCCACGACTCGCTGGTGGAGGTGAACCCGGAATTCCTTGCGGCCCTGCCGCTGAACATCCAGTCGGAGGTGCTGATGCAGCAACGGATCGAGCAGCAGCGCCAGGCGGCGCAGAGTGCCAATCCCGAGGACCCCGTGGACACGGCCGCCTTCTTCCAGAACCTGCCCGAGAACCTGCGCCAAGCGGTGAGTATTCCTGGAAGTGCCTTTTGTAAGCAGGTGGCTTGACTTTGAAGCCTAATCCTTTGCAGATTCTCACCGACATGGAGGAGTCGCAGATCGCCAGCCTGCCACCGGAACTGGCCGCCGAGGCACAGTTCCTGCGCCGCGACTGGGAGTCTCGCAACGGCGCCCGCATGGACGCCCATCCGCCCAGCAACGCCCTCTGTAAGTGTGCCCCGGCACCTCCCCTCCCGACCTGTTTCTCAACCCAATCTCAGCTCTCTCCTCTCTTCCAGCCCGCTTCCAGTCGACGCTGCAGGGACTGGACGAGGCCCGCTGGCACAGTGCCATCTGGTACGACGCCACCGGGAATCCCCAGCCGCAGCACCACCAGCACACGACCATCGTCCACCACCAGGCGCACTCGCACCACGCCCCCAATGTGGGCAAGCCGCTGGCCCTGCTCATGATGGAGGACGAGAACATCCTGCTGGACCCCGACTCGCTGGCCACCCTGCTGCTCTTCCTGTTCGTGGAGGACCAGAAGATGAACAGCATGCGGCTGCACCGCGTCATCCGCAACCTGTGCCACCACGAGCCCACCCGCGACTGGGTGATCAGTGCCCTGATCAGCATCGTCCAGAAGACGAACGAGGACAACGGGAACTTCGGAGCCGGGCAGGCGGGCAGCAAGCCCGAGTGGCTGAAGCTGAGAGTGGATGCCGCCTTCGGCTACAAGAGCAACATCTTCCTGATCAACAAACACCCCGAGGGCAACAGCAGGAGCATCAGCATCAATCCCCAGGCGGCGCAGATGATTGTCCGCAACTGCCTGGACATGCTCTTCGTCCTGGCCAAGCACTATCCGGCCAGCTTCGTGCCCTTCAACCGGGAGACGGTGAAGGCGCGCCGCTTCATGAGCTCCCTGTACGGGAACAGTGATGCAGTGCCTCCGGGCGGGACCCTAGACTTCCGTTCCCGATTCTGTCGCTACCAGGTGGCGAATCGGCTGCGCGGCATGCTGGACGATCCGCCGGCGAGCAAGCCGACACCGCTGGACGAGTCTCCGTCCACATCCAAGGCGGCGGCGGCCAAGGCGGCAGCCACGGCCGGCAAGGTGCCCAACAACAGCGGCAGCAGCTCGATCCCGTACCAGACGAACGCCAAGAACTTCTGGGACGTGGTGATGAACATCGACCGACAGACGGAGGTGCGCCTGGCGCACGTGGCGGACTTCCCGCTGACCTCCCAGCCGGCGTGGGAGTGGCAGCCGAACAACACCGAGTTCCTCTCCTTCAGCGACTCGCCGTTCGGCCAGCTCCTCGAGATGCTGCCCTACAAGGTGATCTGCCGGTCGCCGCATCTCACGGACATGCTGGTCAAGCTGCTGGCCTCGCTCAGCACGGAGCTGCCCAAGGAGGAGGAGCAGCTGCCCTTCATGGACCAGATGCCGACGCTCATCCCCATCGGCCAGGCCACAGGAGCTCCTCCATCCGGAGGAGCCGTCGGAGCCCTCGGCGCCGCAGCAGCAGTCGTGGCGGCGACTAACGCACCCTCTGCGGCAGCTACTGCCCATGGCGCGGGTGCTACCTCGGAGATCGGAGACAGTCTGGCGGCAGGAAGTGGCGGACAAGCCGCTCCGGCGGCCGGAAATCCCGGCTCGGCTGGAGACGGCGCTAGTGCTGCGCCGGTGAAGCCCCAACAGCTGCCCACCCTGAGCGTGGCGCTGCCGGTGACGCCGATGAAGTCGCGCAGGAAGATCTACGCGAAGAACTTCTCGCAGCTGCAGCTGGTGATCGAGGTGCTGACCCACCAGTGCGGCACCACCGAGGGCCTGGACAACGTGGCCAAGCTGATCGTGAACCTCACCCAGTGCTCGCAGGCCTCCAACGCGATATTCATTCAGTATCTGACGGCGGCCATTCTGGGCCTGGCGGAGGAGGTGCGCATGGCCATACAGACGCTGCTGGAGGAGATTCGGGCGTACAACAACAACAGCTCCCAGGCCGGAGCGGCGTCCACATCGGTAACCGCTGCCTCGGCAGCTGGCGCCGCCGGAAGCTCGGCCAGCGGATCGACAGGAGCCTCGCTCCTGCCCAACCTAACCGTCCACGAGGGCATCATGCAGGATCGCTTCACCGCGGAGCATGTGGTGATCTCGGCGCCGAAGAACGCCAAGCCCACCTGCGAGCTGCAGTTGCCGTCGATGAAGAAGCTCATGTCGAACTCCTCCGCCCAGCCGTACTTCCTGCGCACGCTCAAGATCTTCATGCAGGTCCGGGACATGTACGAGGTCCAAAACGCCCAGACGGGGCCGGGAAGCAGTGGCTCCGGCACTGGGGCCGGCAGTGGACTGGGAAGCGGCGACATGGATGACGACATCATCGATATCGAGGGCGATGGCGGAGCCTCCGGTGGCAGCAGCTCGGACGCTGCAGGCACTTCGGCTCCCACATCCATGGAGACCAATCAGGAGAGCGGCCACAATGCCCTGGACGATGATGACGACGACGACGACGAGGAGGAGATCGACATTCTCGTGCCGGAGGATCCACGAAGTCTGCCTGCCAGGCGAGCGGCCGCAGCTGCAGCCGCAGCAGCAGCAGCGGGACCACGGGCTGCACCAGAAGCGGAAGCAGGAGCAGTGACTGCCTCCTCCGCTGCCGGGAAGTCGAACAGACCCACTTTAAGCCAAATTCTCTGCCTGGATGTCCTCTGGCACACGCTCAGCGAGTGCCTGGTGGCGCTGGAAGAGTCCAAGGACGAGTTCGCCGTGCTGGTGCTGCAGCCCACCGTGGAGGCCTTCTTCCTCATCCACGCCTCGCATCGCGTCCCCACCAAGAAGTCGGGACGCAACAGCATATCCGGCGTCTCGGCCGCCGCACTTCGGGTCCTGAGCGGCGGTATGGCCGGCTTGGTGCCCGGCATGGTGCCTTCCTCCTCCGTCCAGCAGCACAGTCCTCTCATCGACGAGTCCAGCAGCGGCCACACCCTCAGCTCTACCAGTTTTGAAGGTAAGTGCATCCCTAGAGACATCCATCGGCGATCTATCCTAATGTTTCGGGCTTTCCATCTTCTTGCAGACGAGCCACGGATGCAGGACGCGGCCACCAACACGCCGAACAGCTCCGGCGGCCCCCCACTCAGTGCCCATGAGGCGCAGCTGCGTCAGGATCGTCAGAAGTTCCTGCAGTTCGCCGAGAAGCATCGCACGGTGCTCAACCAGATCCTGCGCCAGTCGCTCACCCACCTCTCCGACGGACCCTTCGCCGTGCTGGTGGATCATACGCGCATCCTAGACTTTGATGTCAAGCGCAAGTACTTCCAGACGGAGCTGGAGCGCCTGGACGAGGGCATACGCCGCGAGGAGCACACGGTCAGTGTGCGTCGTGTTACGGTCTTTGAGGATTCGTTCCGCGTCCTCTACCGCCTGGGCCCCGAGGAGTGGAAGAACCGGTTCTACATCGTCTTTGAAGGTGAGTTGGCCCAGCATGGCTTTCCTTTTCGAGTCACAAAGTAATCCCCCTTGCTTTTGCAGATGAGGAGGGCCAGGACGCTGGCGGACTGCTGCGCGAGTGGTATGTGATCATCTCGCGGGAGATCTTCAATCCGATGTACGCCCTGTTCTGCGTATCGCCGGGTGACCGCGTCACCTACATGATAAACCCCTCCAGTCACGCCAATCCGAATCACCTGAGCTACTTCAAGTTTGTCGGCCGTGTAATTGGTAAGGATTCAGGATTCAGGACATCATCCTCAATTGTTTAAACTAATACGTGTATCCCTTGATCTACAGCCAAGGCCGTGCATGATAACAAGCTATTGGAGTGCTACTTCACGCGCTCCTTCTACAAGCACATCCTGGGCAAGCAGGTGAAGCACACGGACATGGAGTCGCAGGACTACGAGTTCTACAAGGGCCTCGACTACCTCATGAAGAACGATATCTCCACGCTGGGCTACGAACTGACCTTCTCCACCGAGGTGCAGGAGTTCGGCGTCACCCAGATCCGTGATCTCAAGCCAAACGGACGCGACATCGCCGTCACCGAGGAGAACAAGTTCGAATATGTCCAGCTGGTCTGTCAGCTGAAGATGAGCGGCTCCATCCGGCAGCAGTAAGGATCATTACTCGACTCTATGTATCTGAATGGTTTCTAATGTGAATCTCTTTGTGTCTCCACCAGGTTGGACGCTTTCCTAGAGGGCTTCTACGACATTATTCCAAAGCATTTAATATCGATATTCAACGAACAGGAACTGGAACTTCTCATATCCGGTCTGCCGGATATTGACATTGAAGATCTGAAGGCCAACACCGAGTACCACAAGTACACGTCGAAATCGGCACAGGTGGGTCAGGTGGTCTATTCTATTCGCCTTCTCTTTCTAATCCATGACTTGCCCTCTTTTTTAGATACAATGGTTCTGGCGAGCTCTGCGCAGCTTCGACCAAGCGGACCGTGCCAAGTTCTTGCAGTTTGTGACTGGCACCTCGAAGGTGCCGCTGCAGGGCTTCGGCTCGCTGGAGGGCATGAACGGAATCCAAAAGTTCCAAATTCATCGAGACGATCGGTCCACGGATCGCCTGCCCTGTGCCCACACCTGGTAAGTGGCGACGGGATCTTTAAAATGTTATATTTGGAAAGTCTAACCCCTAATCCTTTACAGCTTCAATCAACTGGATCTGCCCATGTACAAGTCGTACGACAAGCTGCGCAGCTGCCTCCTGAAGGCCATACACGAGTGCTCCGAGGGCTTTGGCTTTGCCTAAAGAGGGATCCCGATCGGCGGATGGCGCAGGACCTGTATTATTTGCGAAGCGAGCCTGCTGCCTGGGCAGAGCCCCCTCCCCCCCTAAACGAGAAGAAAACAATTCCTAAAGAAAGAACGAAAGAAAGAAAGAAAGAAAGAAAGAAAAGAATAGAACAGCCACTGAAAATGTGCGATGATAGCATCAACAAAAAAACTTACATTAGTTACATAGTATATATAAAAATGTTGAATTAATTCCTAATTTTCGCGCCTATATATATACAATATATATTTTCTTAAATTTTCAAAAACAAAAACTTATAAAAAATTAAAAATGATACCTAAATTTAAAATACAAAAAAAAAAACAAAGAAAATCGCAAAAAAAATTTAAAAAAAAACAAAAAGAATCGAAGAAAAATTTGCAAAAAAAAAAACGAAAACTGATTAACGCGAAAATTTAATTTAATGCATATTTAATTTAAAAAAAAAAAAGAAAAAAATTATCGGCGTACAGAAACTCCATCCTTTGTATTAATTTTGATTTTGATTTTTTTTTTGGAAGCCTACCACTGTCGATTTGCACATTTCCCATTATAACAAAGAAAAACGATTTATATAAATAAATAAATACACAATTCGATCTACTTTTTATTTACAAAACACGAAACTAAACAAAACATACGATAAATTATAAATGAAAGAGCAAAGAGCATAGCAAAAGGATTAAATATAGATTATATATAATCGGGATATAAGCACACAGATTTAAGATTTGGTTTCTTGTTTCTTGAATCGAATCGAAGATAATACCTGGCCTGGCAGATCGATCGATCGATGGATGGTTGGGGGGATCGGACAGAGAGGAGCTGATTCAAGCAGATTATTGTATTTCGATGTAAGCGAGAATATAAGTCCCTATGTTATTCATTTTATGTTTACCTTTTTGACTAATGAGCCCCGGATGTAGCTTAAAGAGAGTGTGTGTGTGGAATAAAGTAAGAGTAAGCTCATTTATCACAATACACTTTTGGAAAATCGTTTTTGTTCTTTTCTATACTTTTTAGGACTCATATACAAAGATTTTATTGAATTTAAGGGTATTATTGAGTATCTTATTGGAAGATATACTTTTTTTAAAGGGAGAAATATTCTTCATTTAATTCTCAAGCAAGGATTTAGTTTACATTTAAATATTCTTGAAGATTGAAGGCTCTTTTTCGAAAACAATATTTTGGAAAACAGAAAACAAACAACGGCCAGACTTATCGATAAAAATCATATACCGTGACTGAAGCCGTGACTCATGTCGATATTTTCGACTTCCTACTTTTCATATTTTTCCAATGGATTCCCTGCAAAATGGTAGGTATTCATATCTGGACTACTCCTAAGACTATATCTTTGCCAATTTTCATCCGATTCTCAATCGGAATGTCTTTTAATCAATGTTTTTGCATTCTACGTCGATCTGCATCCAAACATTCTACAGTGACTTTGACTTCGAATTTTTCATATTTTTCCGATAGGTTCCCTGCATAATGCTGGATATTCATATCTGGACTACTCCTAAGACTATATCTTTGCCAATTTTCATCCGATTCTCAATCGGAATGTCTTTTAATCAATGTTTTTGCATTCTACGTCGATCTGCATCCAAACATTCTACAGTGACTTTGACTTCGAATTTTTCATATTTTTCCGATGGATTCCCTCCAAAATGGTAGATATTCATATCTGGACTATTCCCAAGACTATATCTTTGCCAATTTTTATCCGATTCTCAATCGGAATGTCTTTTAATCAATGTTTTTGCATTCTACGTCGAGCTGCATCCAAACATTCTACAGTGACTTTGACTTCGAATTTTTCATATTTTTCCGATAGGTTCCCTGCAAAATGGTAGATATTCATATCTGAACTACTCCTAAGACTATATCTTTGCCAATTTTCATCCGATTCTCAATCGGAATGTCTTTTAATCAATGTTTTTGCATTCTACATCGATTTGCATCCAAACATTCTACAGTGACTTTGACTTCGAATTTTTCATATTTTTCCGATGGATTCCCTGCGAAATGGTAGATATTCATATCTGGACTACTCCTAAGACTATATCTTTGCCAATTTTCATCCGATTCTCAATCGGAATGTCTTTTAATCAATGTTTTTGCATTCTACGTCGATCTGCATCCAAACATTCTACAGTGACTTTGACTTCGAATTTTTCTTATTTTTTCGATGGATTCCCTGCAAAATGGTAGATATTCATATCTGAACTACTCCTAAGACTATATCTTTGCCAATTTTCATCCGATTCTCAATCGGAATGTGTTTTAATCAATGTTTTTGCATTCTACGTCGAGCTGCATCCAAACATTCTACAGTGACTTTGACTTCGAATTTTTCATATTTTTCCGTTAGGTTCCCTGAAAAATGCAGGATATTCATATCTGGACTACTCCTATGACTATATCTTTGCCAATTTTCATCCGATTCTCAATCGGAGTGTCTTTTAATCAATGTTTTTGCATTCTACGTCGATCTGCATCCAAACATTCTACAGTGACTTTGACTTCGAATTTTTCATATTTTTCCGATGGATTCCCTGCAAAATGGTAGATATTCATATCTGAACTACTCCTAAGACTATATCTTTGCCAATTTTCATCCGATTCTCAATCGGAATGTGTTTTAATCAATGTTTTTGCATTCTACGTCGATCTGCATCCAAACATTCTACAGTGACTTTGACTTCGAATTTTTCATATTTTTCCGATAGGTTCCCTGCAAAATGCAGGATTTTCATATCTGGACTACTCCTAAGACTATATTTTTGCCAATTTCCATCCGATTCTCAATCGGAATGTCTTTTAATCAATGTTTTTGCATTCTACATCGATTTGCATCCGAACATTCTACAGTGACTTTGACTTCGAATTTTTCATATTTTTCCGATAGGTTCCCTGCAAAATGGTAGATATTCATATCTGGACTACTCCTATGACTATATCTTTGCCAATTTTCATCCGAGTCTCAATCGGAATGTCTTTTAATCAATGTTTTTGCATTCTACGTCGATCTGCATCCAAACATTCTACAGTGACTTTGACTTCGAATTTTTCATATTTTTCCGATGGATTCCCTGCGAAATGGTAGATATTCATATCTGGACTACTCCTAAGACTATATCTTTGCCAATTTTCATCCGATTCTCAATCGGAATGTCTTTTAATCAATGTTTTTGCATTCTACGTCGATCTGCATCCAAACATTCTACAGTGACTTTGACTTCGAATTTTTCTTATTTTTTCGATGGATTCCCTGCAAAATGGTAGATATTCATATCTGAACTACTCCTAAGACTATATCTTTGCCAATTTTCATCCGATTCTCAATCGGAATGTCTTTTAATCAATGTTTTTGCATTCTACGTCGATCTGCATCCAAACATTCTACAGTGACTTTGACTTCGAATTTTTCATATTTTTCCGATAGGTTCCCTGCAAAATGGTAGATATTCATATCTGGACTACTCCTAAGACTATATCTTTGCCAATTTTCATCCGAATCTCAATCGGAATGTCTTTTAATCAATGTTTTTGCATTCTACATCGATTTGCATCCAAACATTCTACAGTGACTTTGACTTCGAATTTTTCATATTTTTCCGATGGATTCCCTGCGAAATGGTAAATATTCATATCTGGACTACTCCTAAGACTATATCTTTGCCAATTTTCATCTGATTCTCAATCGGAATGTCTTTTAATCAATGTTTTTGCATTCTACGTCGAGCTGCATCCAAACATTCTACAGTGACTTTGACTTCGAATTTTTCATATTTTTCCGATAGGTTCCCTGCAAAATGCAGGATTTTCATATCTGGACTACTCCTAAGACTATATTTTTGCCAATTTCCATCCGATTCTCCATCGGAATGTCTTTTAATCAATGTTTTTGCATTCTACATCGATTTGCATCCGAACATTCTACAGTGACTTTGACTTCGAATTTTTCATATTTTTCCGATAGGTTCCCTGCAAAATGGTAGATATTCATATCTGGACTACTCCTATGACTATATCTTTGCCAATTTTCATCCGAGTCTCAATCGGAATGTCTTTTAATCAATGTTTTTGCATTCTACGTCGATCTGCATCCAAACATTCTACAGTGACTTTGACTTCGAATTTTTCATATTTTTCCGATAGGTTCCCTGCAAAATGGTAGATATTCATATCTGGACTACTCCTAAGACTATATCTTTGCCAATTTTCATCCGAATCTCAATCGGAATGTCTTTTAATCAATGTTTTTGCATTCTACATCGATTTGCATCCAAACATTCTACAGTGACTTTGACTTCGAATTTTTCATATTTTTCCGATGGATTCCCTGCAAAATGGTAGATATTCATATCTGGACTACTCCTAAGACTATATTTTTGCCAATTTCCATCCGATTCTCCATCGGAATGTCTTTTAATCAATGTTTTTGCATTCTACATCGATTTGCATCCGAACATTCTACAGTGACTTTGACTTCGAATTTTTCATATTTTTCCGATAGGTTCCCTGCAAAATGGTAGATATTCATATCTGGACTACTCCTATGACTATATCTTTGCCAATTTTCATCCGATTCTCAATCGGAATGTCTTTTAATCAATGTTTTTGCATTCTACGTCGATCTGCATCCAAATATTCTACAGTGACTTTGACTTCGAATTTTTCATATTTTTCCGATGGATTCCCTGCGAAATGGTAGATATTCATATCTGGACTACTCCTAAGACTATATCTTTGCCAATTTTCATCCGATTCTCAATCGGAATGTCTTTTAATCAATGTTTTTGCATTCTACGTCGATCTGCATCCAAACATTCTACAGTGACTTTGACTTCGAATTTTTCATATTTTTCCGATGGATTCCCTGCAAAATGGTAGATATTCATATCTGGACTACTCCTTAGACTATATCTTTGCCAATTTTCCTCTGATTCTCAATCGGAATGTCTTTTAATCAATGTTTTTGCATTCTACGTCGATCTGCATCCAAACATTCTACAGTGACTTTGACTTCGAATTTTTCATATTTTTCCGATGGATTCCCTGCAAAATGGTAGATATTCATATCTGGACTACT